TTGTCAAACCTTTGTTGATTATTCGATGATATGCATGACAAAAACACATATGAAAAAATTGAAAGTCTGGACTTAGACTTGAAGTTACATTTATTTCCAAATTGAATGTATTTATTTTCATTTCATTAAAAATGGGTGCAAGTTAGTATTCATAACTTATGAAAACTCATTCAATCTGGTGGTGAACTGATGGAATTACCTTATCGTTGAACCAGAATTTATGAGGATAATATACTATATCCCATTACTCAAACTTGATAGTGAATAGCTATTTTCTACTCATACAAAAATCAATTGGATTGTCTGTAGTTGGTACATTCATTAATCCAGATCATTTGGTATTTTCTCTCCTCGTCTCTTTGGACGTTTCGGGAACGAATCTGCTCTCGTTTTCAAGAAAAATACGAATTTACCATACAAAAATGCATTTTTTATATTGAAAACGGGAGCAGATTCGTTTCCGAAACGTCCAAAGAGACGAGGAGAGAAACTGCCAAATAATCTGGAATAAGTAACCAATTGGATTGCTTGAAATGATGAAAATTCCAAGTTCAATTAATTATCTGACTAAATATTAATAACAAAAGTGAAAGAACCATTTCAATTACCTAATATGGAATTCACATGATATTTATTGATAAGAATTTTGCATTATCAAGAGATTCTCCTCGAGATTTCGAGATTATATATTATATTCCTCGGAAAAGGGATGGGTTTGCAGAAGTTATTATAGATGAAGATAAGAAGACGAAAAAGTGTGTTAAGGTCGGAAGATGGTGCAAAAGGAAGTACACCAATATTACTTGCGGAATCTTCACTTATGGTAATTTGTTTCATAGTGTGAAACACGTATCTAATATTGCGAAACCCATCCGTCTTCAAAATGGATTAATAATCTGGTGTTATGAAAGGATTCTGTAGTTGAGTAGTAATATATAGGTACTTTATGACAATATGAATCATTTTTTATATCAACATATTAGGTACTTTGAAACGATGTTATAAAGGTAAATTGTTTTTTATACAAGGTATCTACTTCATTGCTCAACAGCAGAGTGTAAAAATAAACAATATTATTAACTAGGCAGCAAAATGAAAATCTGAAAGAGGAAAGAAGTAAAAGTCCTTGGTTCTTGACGTTTTTCACTAAAATGAATCATTATCATACCTATCTACTAACTTGATACCAGAACTCAGCATATACATATAAATTCCTCAATAAAAGCTGCACAAAAAAGTTGTCATAACATGGGCGTAGCACTAAACTTGTTCAACGTGTATAAATTATTTTTCAAATCTTCATTGACTATTATAACAGCAAAACAACGATTGCAGCCTGAATTCTGAATAAAAAAACCAAATCGGAAATAATTTCACACAATTTTTATGATGTCGCCTCAGTTTTGCTGGTCAGCGTATAAAAAATATATATTATGTATATCCAAGTAGCACACATATATTAGTACAATATCAGTGCAATATTCCGACAATATTGGCGAAATATTGTGAACGAAATATTGGCGAGAAAAATATGTGAACATTCGGCGATATTGGTACGATATTAGATTCATAATGTGGGTGGAATATTGAAAATCAGCATGTTGCAACGTCGTCGCCTTGGTGCAATATTTATCCTTTCAATATTGATTAAATATTCGCAGTTATATTGGTCCTAAACGATAAATTAAGTGAGCATTTGATAAAAAATGGTGCAATATTGGTTAGAAATATGGAGAGATCATTGAAAATTATTATGTTGCTATGCTATGTTCACTCTCGCCTCTTGAAAATGTTGGCAGAATATTTTCATACCAATATTGGTGTTGGCGAGACATACAGTGTGAACATTCGATATTGACGTCGCCCTGGGACCTTGTGATCACTGTTGACCCTATGGCAGGTTAGTATGCTTGCAGTAGTTGCAATTAGCAAATCAAATCGTCTCGAGCCAATATTTATATTCTCTCGTCTGACCGGCACTGGGAGTACGTTACCAATAATTTACCGCGCCATCTATCGACATAAGTTTGAGAGTGGCATTAAATAATTATCGAAATGGCGATATCGATATGTATCTTCAAAACAATATGTTACCGATATGGAATTGAACTTGGAAATACAATTTTTTTTTCTCTTTCATAATATGACCGATATAAAGAGAAATAATTGAATGCCCGATATAGATATCAACATCTTTGAAACAATAATATGCATTCGATATCTTCCGCATGATATAGTTATAACGATATCAATCAATATAGGTAAATATGACGATTCAAATATTGTTGAAATAATATTTAGAGTAGCTTCACAATGTTTTGATTACTCATAAGTCAAATTTTGGAATCATTTCATCTCCACTGCATTAAGCATGAAAAGTCAAGTTCTTGTACCAAATTTCATCATTTCATCTCACGGAGTTTCGGAAATATTCAGGATATATACCATCTTCAGAAGCCCCCTTTAAGGTGGCCGTAGCTTCCTTAGGAGCCATTTTGAGACCTATATGTAAATTCGAACTTTTCTATCTATTTCCGCTGGTGAAGTTTGGCAGGCTGATTATGGGACACCCTGTATATTTATATCGGCCCAATATAAAATCAGGATTCAGCCAAAATGATGTGCTACCTGGGAATATAAATGTTTCAACTATACCAATAGAGAAAATTTAAATAACTAGGAAAAATATAATTATGGGAAAAGTTCGTATTTATTGATATTTCTCCGAGTATTTCTCACCTTCCGAACCTTTTTCAAGATACGACATTGTTTTGTGTAACAGTATATCAATTTTTCTTGAACCATATAATCAGGCTTAATGAGACGTCAAACACGAATTTCCACAGTTCCAACCGCAGAATATTTTGGAACATGTTCAAACACTAACGTTATGGCATTTCAGAGGAATAATACAGAAAAATGCCAAGCGCGACCTATCTGAATAATTTGTCATGGGATTTGATAATGGTGTTTGTCTTGAATATTACGAGAATTCAATGAAACAGTTATTAAGATTCGTTCAAGTATGGGTACCGTTTGCGTTTGCGTTCATTGAAATTGTTTATGCCATTATCGATTCAGTTTTTTTACTGGAATTATATATAGGAATGCAATTGATGCAAATGGTCCTAGATCTGGGTCATATTCCTTTCAATACAAATTCAGTGCCTAGTTTTTTGCCAATTTGAATAGGTGTATATTCACCATTTCCCACATTTTGAACAAACCAATAATTGTTTCTCAACGTCATGAAATACCAAGAAATATATAGCTCTCATACGCTGGAAACCTAAGATTTTACATTTTTTACAGGATTCAATATGTTTTAGCATCACACATGTCGATATGAGTACATGAGACTCGATCGGAATAGTCATAATGGAGAATTCGAATATTCAATGATATACACGGTGTTGCATTTGAATATCAAAAGTTAATATCACTTCCGGTGAAACTGACAGTGGAAAATAAAACTTATTTATGTAAAAACATGACGTTTACCAAGTTGATTGGTCATTTCAAATATCAATCACTTATCTCCAAAAGTAAAGGAGAAAAAGGGGGTATACCATGATCTTGTTACACCTCGTATATAGTCAGTGAGAGAATGCATATTTGTTAGCGAATAATGTCAATAATATAAGGCAACTTAGATTTTTTTTTGTTTTTTTTGGCAGGGTATTAATTATTATTTGCAAGAACTGGGTATAAGTATATAATTAATTAACGAATGTATTTCCTGGTATCTTAATTCATCTCAATTCATATACTGTATTTTTTTGTTTAGACTTTATTTCCTAATTATAGGAATCATGTATTCTTCTTGGAATAAATAAAGTCTTTCTTCTTCTGAAACCACTTCCTCCTCCTCCTCCTGAGGCAAATTGAAAGAAAAAATCGACCTGTTTCAGGATATTCCTCAGAATCTGATAGTTTGCCTTAACATGAATTTATTCAGTACTTTAGGAAAGCACTGTAAAACTGACTCACCCTGTATATAGAAATCACATCTTCCGTTAAGTTCATGATATCGAAAAGTACCTATAAACAAATAATCCCTTGTCAAGATATCAACATTCCCACAATAATTGAAACTTCAAATTCAAAAGTAAACCACAAAAAATCCTGTATATAACGATGAGAAAAAATCGCAGTGTTTTAGACTAGCATTAAATGGAGAGGTATAAAAACTGACTCACCCTGTATATATAGAAATTACATCTTCCGTTAAGTTCATGATATCGAAAAGTACCTATAAACAATTGATCCTTTGTCAAAATATCAGCATTCCCACAATAATTGAAACTGTAAAAGTAAACCATAAAAATTTCATGTATTGCTGAGAAAAAAATACACAGGAGCATAAAATGGTGGGGTATAAAAACTGACTCACCAGTGATATAGAAATTACTTCTTTCTTAAGTTCATGATATCGAAAAATATATGCCCATAAACAAATAATCCCTTGTCAAAATATCAACATTCCCACAATAATTGAAACTGTAAAAGTAAACCACAAAAATTCATCTACCGCTGAAAAAAAAATCTCGCAGTCTTTAAGACTAAAGAGCATAAAATGGTGGGGTAGCAATATCAATCTGATTGCAATTTCCACCAAACATTACCATCCAAAGAAGCGCTCTTGAGCATAACAGTTTCACGTAGCAGGCCAGTAAACATCGTGCTAAATAAATAAGTTTTTAAAGTACAGTGACTTTAAGCTGCCAAGTTACAGTTCACGAAATAATGTTAGATTGTAATTAGTTACAGACAATTTTTCGGAACAGTCTTCATCAGTGGATTTCTAGTGAATTATCATAAAGTGATCGAGTGCAATCGATTTTTTTCTGTTAAGAACTTTGAATATTATATTCAGAGGTCGAAATGCATTATAGGAATGCAATGTAGTGTTAATAAAAAAATTTGAAAAATAAAAACATTTTCTTCAGTTTCGTACGCGGTTCAATAAATGTGCTATTAGTTCTTTTGATTTTTACATCATGGGTGTGGATTATTTCATGAGGTGAGTAAACATTGAGCTTTTTTTCATTCAAATGGATATAAGATTGATGAAATTATTCATATATCATTGTTTTGTCCAGTAAAATATTATACCTCAAAATGTCATAGAAATATTAATTTGACGTTGGAGAAAAAAGCCTCCATTGGTAAAACTTCAGGTACGCCACCGAAACCTATCGTTTTCCAAAATCGAAATTCTTTGGACTTTAAAAAATTAAAGTGATAAAGTGATGAAGTGAAAGAAAACTAGAGAATATCACTGATGATCAAGGTCCGTTTTTCTATAACTTTCTATAACTCGTTTAAATATCGCTGGCTTGATGTCCATTCAAGTTGAGAAACAGATGAATTCCATGAATGAAAAACTAAAGGAAGTGTTACACAACATCAACAATGTTCATGTTCACTCCTGATGAATATTCATATAATATAGTCTTTCAGAGTGCATATGAGCAAAACTGGACGTCTCAGCTCTACTATACAGGGTGTTAATTAATTGAGTGCCGACAATGGATGGTCTAAATCCTATAATATTAGGGTGATTTGAAGGAAAAGAGTTTATATCAACATATATACCTCTTAGTTTTTGAGCAACAGGGTGTTGAACTTTTAGGAAAGAAGTGAGTTTCCTATCATAATTCATTTTTATCACTCTTAGATTTTTTTATGAAATTTTATACACTGATTTTTCTGATAATCAAAATTATTTATGAAATCTCCATTCATATTGGATCAAATTTGGTTACTAGACTCACTTTCTTACGACGTACCGTTGTCGCATAAAAAAATTTATAAAAAAATGTTTTTTTTTCTTCAGTTCATTCTTGTACTTTGTTAAAATTTAGCAGTGGAAGCACATATTGTTCAAATCAACGTTTTACTTTTACCATTGATGTTCACGTATAGACTTGATATTGAATTATTAGATTCAAAAAATACTGTACGCCTCTGATTTCAACAGCCCGTAGCTCAAAAACTAAGAGGTTTAGGGCATATATTGATGAAAACTTGTCTCCTTAAAATCACCCCAGTTTTCACACCTTAATTGTATTATCGGCACTCAATTAATCAACACCCTGTATAATCGGAGAAAAAGCGATATACATGGCGTTCACATCCATCATCATGACTAAAACGAGTAGTCTTCAGAAACAAATAGCAATGATGCAAAACATTTTTATAAAAAAATAAGAGTGTTTTAAAGTGTGACAATATTTTCAAGGAGTTTTCTCAAAAAATCAAAAAATTGAGAAAAAAACCGATATGCCAAGATTAAAATGATGGAATTAACCAAATGATAAGATTGTATATTTTTAATTAATGATGCGAAGATGTTTAATTTTTATTCATATCTGAACTTTGTGAGAAAATGTCTTCACCTATTTTTCTTCTAAACAATTGCCTGTGGAACATATATATTGACGTATAAAGAACAGTAAGCCCATATAGTATCACATAATTAAGTCATAAATGTGTATGATCATATAACCAATCAACGAGCAATCAACCATGCCGATAAACTATGAATTGAGAAACAATGAAAAAGTAGGATATTTGTGAAGCATGTCCTACTAAATAAAAATAATAGGTATAAAATGAATAAAATGTATGTACAGGGTGGTTATTTAGATTTTACTCAATAGCTCTCAGTTATTATTGCTTCTAAAAAAACGTTCAAATGGACAGAAGTGAAGTATTCTTTTTGGGCAGTCAGAATCTAGTACTAGAAAATGCAAAGAAGCATCGTTCACCTAAAAATTTCTTATGAACTGGTATTTTTTAAATGGAACACCCTGTATTTTATTTTTCTAAACGGTAGAGATCTTTCTTCTGATTCCAAATATACAGTGCTTTTCTTCAATGCCCCCCTCTTTCATTTTTTGAACGGGTCAACTGAAAAAATTGAAACTTATATATAATAAAAATAGCTATATAGTGGTGGAAAACGTATTTTCTAGCTCTCCATATATAGTTATCGGAACCAATATTCTAGAGAATCATAATACACTTATAATTTTCGATATACCAACCTAGATAAGAGATAGTAAGATAACAGTTTAATAAACTGTGGTATTCACGATATCACTGAAGCCATGGTGGAAATAATTCCACCATGAGTGAAGCGACACCATTAGTTCCCCACGAACCAATAGGTGTCACCCTGTCTATGCCACGACCCAAAGTCTGCTCACACCGTATAAAGTGTTTGCCAAACCATTTCAACGGCAAGATCATACTTCACAGGATCATTTCTGTAGTATATCTTCGCATACTCTCTACTCAAACGTAGAGTTGTCGCAACCACGAGGATGAGACATAGTCTCACACCTTGAGCGTGAGGCAGACATTTTGTGAGTGCTTGTCAATTACATGTGTCATCGATGATCGTTCACTCACCGATGTATGTTGGTGAGGATGGGTGTGAGGCAATCTGAGTGGTTGCCCTTTTTTACAATTCAATATCAAATACCGATCATTTCAACTTGAATGAATAGAGTTGGGATTAGGATGACGTCGGATGGGGCAGCTTCACTTATAAATTTCATTATTCAATTTTACTTATTTTTTATATTTCATGTATCAGTAACGACAAAAAGTTTGAAAAAGAAAAAAAAGTGATCCACACATCTGCCTCCTGTGAGGATTGAACTCACGACCCCTGGTTTACAAGACCAGTGCTCTGCCACTGAGCTAAAGAGGCTTATATAAAATAGGTGAAGTTTACAATGTTTTCAGAAACTGCTACGAAAAATTAAATTCATATTAAAATATTAATAAATTATTATTTTCTAAATACGACCCTTTATGAAATGAAGTGATTTAGTAAAAGAAAAATTAGAAATAATAGTGCAAGTGAGAGAAATTCTCATAACGTGAGGTGCATTTATGCAGCAACTAAGATGGCTACACTTGTAGCGTTTTTTTTTTCGTTGGCTAATGGATGAGTGATGATTTTAGTATTCAAATGAGTTACAGGATGTTTTCATTAATCGATCTTGAATCTACCAATTTCATGTTCAGTTTTTAGTAGTGAATACCATGTTCTATCAATATAAACTAAACAGGAAGCAATGATATTTTCTCCGTTCAGAAGAATATGCAGACTGATTTTTGTTTTTTTGTTTTTCAATGTTTCTATATACCTGTTGATATGTGATATTATTCGATTATTTTTCGATACTTTTTTCTTTATTTTGTTATTGGTACCAAATGATGCACACATTTATCAATTAAAACCAACGTAAGTTGCGTAATTGCTTTTCTCTGTCCTAAATATTGAATATTGGACCTATATAGACCACCCCCACCCCAGGGATATATCTTAATAACGCCACTGTTTCTTAACATAAATTCACGATTTTGTCGAATTCGGACAAGAATTAGAAAAGTCACAAGGCGATAATAATAAATAATGTATGATAAAATCTCTTTCAGAAGTGATATTCATAACTTGAATATTCGTCATTCTAGTCTTAGTACTGTGCCTATAGACATAGGGAAGAAATGTATAAACTTGTCACAGATTTCAGTCATTCGATTAAATCATTAAGAATATGGTAATAACGAAACAACTGCTTCAACTTCACCGAACAAGGTGGCAATATGATAATGTGATTGAATCGTTTCTATTTATTCTTGGTGATATAGTCCTGATGTGCATACTACCCCAGCGTAAGCGTAATATATCAATCAACGATACTACCATACTACCCTCTTCTTCCCTCTTCTTTTCTTCTCTTATATACTCTTACTGCTAATGCTCTTAGGTTTTCTTATAGAATTATAGTTTTTTGTTAGGTGTTAGGTTTAGGTCTGGCCAGAAAGGAAGAACAGTTTCAATCTACTTGGTAGAATGTAACTGAATTCTGGCCATTTATTCGCCACATTAAGTATGATAAACCTACCACCTTATACTTGTCATGATTTTCGAGGAATAATAAACGTATTATTAGGTTTTATAAATTTGGCAACATTTTTTGCTGGCCGGTTTTTTTGCTGGTGAGTGTAGGTAGGAAGATGTCTCCTTTTATTGTTTCTACATTTCATCCGCCGTAACACATCTTCTATATAAACATTCTTGTGATGATTCTGTTAATTAGCAGCCTGAACTTATTGAAATATGAAATTTTACATCACTAACACAAAAAGTCACGTTAGTTTACCGGAATCATGTGTATTCAAACCCGGTATAATAACAGTAAGAGATGCAACCTACCATCAAAAATTATAGCTGACAATGGAATTCCTGGACAGCTCGAATTATTATTATTATTGGATCAATGTCAACATCCCTTGAATCGTTGAATTGAACTGAAGATATTTGATCTTATAATGCAAATTTCATAAATGTATTTTCTACCAATTAGGATATACCTTCTATATATCATGAGTTATTTTCGAAGGTTTTCATCTTGACTCAAACAAACTATTGACAACCTGCAGACATTGATCAGATAGTTTCTGTACGAGTAGCTGAATTCGAAAAAATATGTTCCTATCTTAGATTCCTCAATATATATCATGAGTTATTTTCGAAGGTTTTCATCTTGACTCAAACAAACTATTGACAACCTGCAGACATTGATCAGAATATCAAAATATTTTGAATAATATCGGTTTACTAATGATCTTTAAATTTCAAAGCCTACCAAGTGTCGATATATCATCGAATTCATGTCACAGCCAACTCATTCTTTTTGAATAAAAAGCAATTCAACAGCAAATTATTATTATTAAATTATTAATGTAGGAAATAAATGCCACTTTGTGATACATGGTTGGATAGAGAATTTCAAGGCGAAAAAGATAGACTGAAGAAATGTACAGGGTGACGTTAAAAAAAAAGTTGGGTCAAACACTACCATTCATTATATACTCCCTGTGAATTTTAAAATTTTATTTCTTCAAATAAAAAAACTACAGGCTGCTACATGTCTCCTGTGTCACCCGGTATAGATCCTGTTATAGTTTTTATTCGAAATTATTATTCATTATTATCGAGATGATAATAACTGAATTATCATACCAAAACATAAAGTTAGTTTGTTCTTCTAGGTGGCGATATGCACTTCTACTAGGGATACTCATTTCATTTGTGCCAAATGTGAGTAAATCATCTTTATATATTCCGTTATTTTCTAGTCTCTAATCAAAATTTAAAAAAACATTTACGTTTACACTATCATATTTCAGATATGTCTTTGTGAGACGCTTGAAGACACAACTTCAGCGGTAGAATATAGCGTTAGTATCAGCAGTAGCACTAGTGTAGGTAGAGATAAGCAAATCGAAGCTGAAGATGACAGTCATTCGTCAGAAACAGCGGCTATTTTGGACATAGCGAATCATTCCAGGGAGGCGTTAACACAAGAGGCAAATTCACCAGAATCGGTAAGACATATCATTGATTTCTAAGTCACAATTATTGTTGTTACAATTATTGTTTTCCCTGTGTAAAATGATTATGATATAAAACGTATTCCGTTTAAACGGTCAATCAACACGATATCAACAGCTAATCGTGGCATCTTTTTGGATGTATGATGCATGAAATGTATTATTCTTGGTATTTGGTATACTTAGGATTGGGAAATCAGAATTGTATAGGTACTTAAAAATACAGAAAGACGTCGAAAATAATTATATCGTCCGGTTTTTGTAACACAGGCTAAAGTCAATGTAAAATGGTGGCGAAACATGATTTTTTAGGTTTATTATCCAACATGTTTTTCCGATATAGGAATTATAGGATGTAATGGCGAGATCTCTTTCCTAGATTAGGAATTCGTATAGGTACCAGCAAATCTGATAATGATACTTTTTCATAGGATTTATAATACATGCAATTTCTGTGGAAATCTTGGTGGAAATACTGATGGAAATAAACAAAATCGTTGCTAGGTCTGAAATGTCGGAGTTCCCAGCACACATACATTGAACATTGGGGCAATATCGATCTATTACCTATATACTTTGGATTTCCATCAAGTGAGACAATTCAAATTTAGGTAACATATTGTTAGCAATATAAAAATGTCAGATCGAGATTTTAGTTCTGCACTGTTTGAGATGCAACCTCCTTATGGTCCTCATGATATTCAAATCATCATTTTTTAATGATGAAACTGTCATTAGAATGATCACGATTTTCTTAACAAAGTAGAACCAACCAAAGTATGATAATACTTAGGCTATGGTGTAGTGCAACTATTCATTCACTTGACATTGAGTATATTCCCAAGGGCATCACCTAGTTTACAAAATTCAAGGACTAGAATATTCAAACAGGAAAAATTATGATGGACAGGGGGTTTCCAGGTATAACAAATTGTATTTTCGGTTCAAACTCAATAGTTTCTTGTCATTCTTACATCATAATGAATGTTAAATATACTGCTAGTTTGCTAATTTGCACATTGTTGTATCTCTGTGAATAAAAAAGTTACCTACTCGTAATACCCTGTGCAGTGGTAAATTGACACTCGCTATTTGGATAGGTATAGCCTCATGTTTATCGAATTATCATTCACATCGAAGGTATACCTATAGGTGGTGCTATAGTTTTTTTCTGGCTCTCATTATATAATATTTACGGTCCTTCACACATGCAAGATTTTCAAACTTAAGTCGGCACTTTTCCACGAGTTACGTCAAAAAGTTCGGTTTCTTTGAATGCGACACCCAGTATACAATATTCTCAATCGATATGAAATTCAATTCTGAAAAAAAACTATTCCACAACCTTCTATCCTAAATTCAAAAATGACTGAGAGATCGATTCTGTTAGTCGAGGATGGTCGAGATATTACTTGTAACTTTGCCTTACTGAAGTAAAAAAAATCGTCGATAGATTCGTTGAGCATATTGTATACTGGGGGTTCCTTCTAAAGAAATTGTACTTTTTTTTTCGTGAACGCGCGATGTTAGATTTTTGTTTAGTTTTCGTTCAATATTCACGGAAATATTGACGCTCTGCCACTAACTTAGATCAGTTTGAATCGCGGCACGTTTGGATATTCGCAAAAGAGACATGTTTTTCCTTTCATTTGCTTGTTTTACAACTCGTTATCACACCATATGAGATTTCGGCATCCTAGTTCTCGTTGTGTAAAATTGGCTCAGCCAATGCTTTGTTTTTTTAAGAAAGCCCGTTTTAGGCAAATAGGATGATGTTAATTTCTCCCTCCAATATACTTGTACGCTTTTTTTTTAATACGACTGTATGTCCGGAATAATAAGAGCAAATAAATCGCTGTACCATGGGTTTGGCTCAGACTGAGGGGGGCACAGTAGGTTCAATTGGTATCGGATGGCATCATTTTTGAGTTGAGTGAGTTGAGTAAGCATCGGGGGGACTTGTCGAAGTCCAGAGTCCAGACAGCTAGACCGCTAGTGTGGGTCCATTGTGTCGCCACGTGAGTATGGCATCCTTCACAATAGTCCCGCAGCTCTGCCGAATTGGTGGACGATGGCTAGGATGTCGGTAGCCGGGATGTTTGGCGCTTCTTCCGCTGGAAGAGTCGTTTGTCCGAAACTCCGCCATCTGAGCTGTGTTAGCGCAGGACATTCCCATATGATGGGGATGGGAGTTTCGTCGTTTTCGAGACATAAACGGCACGTTGGGTCATCGGAGATGGCCAGAATGTTTAGATGTCTGTTGGCGGCAGTGTCCAGTTAGTGAGCCAGTGACAACTCTGCATTGGCTTCTTCGCATATTCAGGAGGGATTGGGTGAGACGTATCGAAGGCCTATCAATGAAGGTCTTCGCCTGCCTCGTACCCCTGGATTCAGTCCATTCCCGACAAAACCTCTCTGTCAGAAGTTCTTCAAGTTTACGCAGTCCTGTGCAGAGAGAAATGCTCACGATGGGCTCTGGGCCCACAGGACGGGCATGATTCTTGGGAGTCGGACAGTTCGACCACGAGCCGGGTACCTATTTTAAGTACACCGATCAGTTGGACCACGACCGCTCTTCGAGCGGATTAAGGTTGTATTCTAGGAATTAAAACAATCCCTATTTTATTAACATATATTATTTATTATTGATAAAAAGCCATTTCTATATTCTGATATCTTAGCTTTAATGAAATAATTTTTTTTCTGTGTTGCACTTTTTAGTTTTTTGGTGGAACATTTTACGGAATTTATTTTAATATATGTTTCTGCTTGAAAGTTTAATGAAATATTTACAAAATCAAACAAACTTGGGTGAGAACTATAAAATGAAATAATTCACACGCGTTTGTGGTCCTGTACATTATCTGTAGTACAAGCCCACATACTTGGGGGAAAATGTCTTTCTTCATCGATATAAGTTTCCACGATATAATCACAACATTTCGATGGACTTGGATTACTGGGCATTATTGAATGAATTCCTTCAGAAAAAAAGTTTCCTACTTCATTAGGGTCTAAAAATGGAAGTCCAAAAAATAATTTAAGAAAATTGCCTGTTTCTGAGTTTTTGTTCCGATATTCTGTGACTATAAGCCCAAATTTTTAATTTACGATACCACGATTGGCACAAATGGAATCTACATCCTATACTTTTTATATTCGGCCACATTATTGAACAAGCGTTATGAACTGCCTGTTCAAAATCAACAATGACGGTTTAAATATCAGATCCAAGTTTTACATTTTTCATTCAACAGTTGAAATAATTTCAGATAACTTGAGCTGTTCTTGTTTGGTAATAAGCAAAATGCAACAGGTATATATAATAGCCATTTTTGAAAGCATGAACAGTAAATAATTGAAGGAAAAATGTTGTACAAAACTGAAATGTTCCATCCATATATATTGTACTCACAGAGCAAAGAAAATACAAATTTGTATAACACGAATGACAATAACACCATTTTCCTTATCAACTACACTTAAGAACTTTCAGCTCTATTAGTTTTTGGTTGCATGTCCATCAGGAGTGTATACACTTCATTTTGACTTTTAGGATAATAATATGGTGTTGTTGTAAAACATTCCAAATCGGAAGATATCATTTCACGCCAATGAATTTTTCCGCATTTTGCTACATGAAATTTAGAAAGTTTAAAATTTTTCAGTAATAATTTGTGTCCTTTTTCACTAAAACTACACTTCAAATCCATTTTTGTTGCAGTTACACTTCTAAATTAACCAGAAGGATAATTAGATTAGAAAATAAAATTTAAACCTGGTCGAACTGCAGGGTGGGCTTAACTCGACCTTTTTCAAAAAAGGATTAATGCAGGTACTCGTGGTCCAACTGACCGGTCCCCTGATTCTTATCTCGTTATCAAATCGCGAAAAAGAGTGCAAATTTCCGCACAGGAAAGTGCAATTCTTTCATCATTTTGCTCAGGAGAGTGATTGGCACAGGTGCCGTTCGATGAACTACGCAATGTTTTTACCGAGGCTTTTACTTTCCTTTGGGACATAATATATTATCATTTCGTTATCATCAGATGACGGTAGAAATCTGCAGCTGGTTCTCCTACTATTACTAGTGTGTCCATTTCACATTCAACTGACTTTGTAAACTGGAATAATAACCAAGTTAGCAATAGTGCCGACTTAAGTTTGAAAACCCGGAGATAACCCCATTGCGCCTATTCTACCAGGTCTAATCCGGGTATCAAAAGGGCCCGGAATGTATGATAACCCAGTTGCGCCGATGGTGAAAATAAGCCTAATCTATAGACTCAGCAGGTTATCAATGACACACTGTCCCTGCTCATTATCGCAACACCCCCTACCCTGACAATTGTTTCGAAATCGTAAGCCAAGAATGTGTAAAACTAGGATTTTAATTTGAACCTGCTGAAGTTGCATCAAATTTTGAAAACTCTATTCATCTATGCACTATGCATAAGATTTATGTGGCCAGAAACAAACATTATAGGATACAGATTTCATCTAAGTCAAGCTTGGATTAGAAAAATCCAAAGTTTAGGGTTGACTTCCGGATACAAAAGCAGTTACATTGGACACTTGGCTTGACATTTTCAGAGCCAGAAACAGTAGGAGACTGTTTCGCTTTTGATTTTGGTCAAATGTTGACGAATAACGCAAGATTGAGAAATTATTTTGATTATCTTGTTGATAATGATATAGACGAGGATTATAAGTTTCCACCTAAAATTTGGGCTTGTGCTGAAGCTAGTATATAGCTAGAGAACAACAAATTGCTGTGAATCCTTTCATTCTGATTCAACTAAAAGTTTTTATGCACCTCATCCGGATATTTTTAATTTGTTCAAATATTGAAGAAATTTCAAACTAAAACTAACATTAAAATTAATAATATTCATATACCAATTAACATTATAAATGAATCGTATAAAGACAGAATTGAAATCTTATCCAGTAACTTAAATTTATTCAAACATGGACAAATTCAGAGGTTCAATTTTGTAGAAATTGCGTCTTATCATTATAATAAAATGTGTATATAAATAAAATGTCTTGTACACTTTGAATAAATGTCTTGTATACTTTGTCAATGATCAAGTATTTTAGCTGGATAGTAAAACCGGCATTCCCAAAACCCTATTTCCTATCGGGCACCCTTTCCATTTTCTCAATCCTCTAGCTCTAGCTCTAGCTCTATAATTTAATAGCTCTCCCGTAAAGACAATCGGCGCAAGTGGGTCATGGTGATTTTAAGGGCTGGCCGGTCGCGGGCGCAATTGGGTTATACGATTTCTTGCACTTGTTTAAAATTGGCTCAACTGGGCTATGAAAACCCTCTATATGTAGAGTCATACCCGCACTGACTTATATTTCGTAGGTGGTTTTTATAGGGGATACGTCGGATTATGTGCCTGGGACTTCATTGAGAGCACGAAATCAGGACGATCCAGAAGTTGGCATTGATTGGGAGCATCCCTTGGATACCTGGGACAGGGAATACAGGAGGATAAGATTCAACAATACCAGAGTCCAACGTGAGTAAATAAAAAAAAATCCTCCCCGGCGGGGAATCGAACCCCGGTCTCCCGCGTGACAGGCGGGGATACTGACCACTATACTACCGAGGACTTGTATCTTTGGAGGAAACAGCCATATCAAATTCATAAAATCAATTATATATTTTCAGATATCGAAGCTGAATGTCAAGACGATTATATGAAAATTCGAGTTGGATTCAACGGAAGTTTCACTGGACTTGTCTATTCAGCAGGTGAGTTTTTACTGGACCAATCGAATGGGATATTTTCAAAAATATGTATTCATCAGGTTACGCTTATGATCCCGACTGCATGTATATAAATGGTACAGGCCGAGACTATTATGAATTTTTCATTCAATTGAACAGATGTGGGACACTTGGAAAAAATACGCATACTGAAGAAAATAAGAAGACGCCCACAGTAAGTTCCAACTAAAATATTCGAACTTATTTAATATGACATATTATTATGTCATCCAATTTTTTCTTCTTATCTGCCCGGGTAGCTCAGTCGGTAGAGCATTGGACTTTTAATCCAAGGGTCCAGGGTTCAAGTCCCTGCTCGGGCGAACTTTTTTATATATTTCATGGTTTTTAGTTAATCATTTTATAATTCTTCATTTTTTAGAAAAATTTCATGTGGAACACTGTAACTGTACAGTACAATCCACTTATAGAAGAAGAATTCGACGAGCACTTCAAAGTTACCTGTGAATACGGATACGATTTTTGGAAAACAGTGACCTTTCCGTTTCTAGACGTAGAGTGAGTTAATAAAATTCACAAGATAATAATATAATACCAATAATGTTCATGTAAATATAGATTTTGTGTACAAACTCCGTATTAAAATTCAATAGGTAATAGGGTCGCACTGTTTCTGACCGCCCACCAGCAGGGACACCATTTCAATGTATACTAGGAGGAGGCAAGGAAATGAGAGAACATTTGTTTCATGATACAAAATGCGCCGCAGGCGAATTTTTTTGAGTTCAAGGTCAAATAACTTCAAATCGCGAATTAGAATTTTTCCAGAGTGATAACATCATTATATCACATATTACATTTTATTCAATTTCAAATTATAAAAAAATATATGTCAATGGGGGAGACCACTGGTTTTTTGAAACGACATTATCGTGAACTCTATACTGAAAAACTACCAGTGAATTAATTTTGAATTTTTTCATTCATGCTAAGAGTAAGACGATGAAAAAAATGAATTAGAATATGTCCATTTCAAAACACATAATCCCTGCGCCATTTGAAGTTTTGTCAATTCATTGGTGAGACTGGTGCGACGTCTTAGTCCCAACACGCCTATTGTCCTTGAATTCACCAATCACACTGCAACACTGCAGAATGACGAGGTATCAGAGAGAGATAATTACAGTGCGGGACTAATACGTCACGGCTCCACCATCATATTTGGCTTTTCGAAATAACGAATGAAATATGCTGATTTCAAAACGATATAGATTCGATTCCCTTCAACTTCAACTCATAATATTGATTATAGATTAAACGTAAATCATGATTCGTCGATTGAAAGAGGTTTGCACAGATTTCTTCCCTCAGTGGTCTTCCCCATTGTCCTGTCCGTGGAAGTACCTACCTGTACTAGATAAAAAAATCCGTTAATAGAGCTTCTTGATATTTTCAAATGGCCGAAGTCGCCAATTTTTACAATTATTATGGAAATTCTGATATTTACTTCCCTATTTAGGTATATTTTGTGTTTGATATCTAATATTATACTGCCTGACATATCGAATATTTTAAAATGATAGAAATTTTTAAACTCAAAGTACTGATCTGTTTGGTTTTGTGTCATTGTTACAGAAAGATTAATTGTAAAATCAATTTTTTTTAGAAAACGAATTGCCCCCCCTTCGACCCTCCTAAATGACGCTCATGCCCATCAGGTCACTATACCATACCGGGTGACACAGGGTGTATCGGCCCACCATTTCGGATTTGATCACATTACAATTCGACATGGCGGACTTCCGGTTTTTCGGGATATGCCAGCAACTTTGTCTTTCCAAATGGAATGCCATGTATATTTTTACATGTCCAGGTTCAACAGCTCAAAACATGTACAATCATTATGTGAAATGTCTATTTTTCGGAAAAATTTAAATTAAAATTCGTTAAAATTGTTTTATTTCTCATTTTACCTCGTGGATAAACGAGATGTGGTCAAGACTATTCACAATGAGGAGGTAGTAGCACAAAACAGAAACATATTTTTTCTGATAACTTCTTTTTTGTGTCACTTATCGTTGAATCATTTCAGTCACATCATGTTTTGATCAAAAATGTATTTCTTTCCAATGGAACCCCTATGCGACCTACATTTCTCTACAACATATATATATTAAGGAAAAAAATGACATTATTTCGATGCAGTAACAAATTGTATATATTCAAAAATTAACAAGTAGTTCATGAATGTCCTTGTAGTTCAAAAAAATACATTTGACATAAAGATTGCACTAGTGAGCTGTTAAATTTGAATATACAGGGTGTTCCATTTGAAAAAACAAAGTTACTGGAATTTTCAGAAAAACCAGAAGTCCGGGCAATTTGGATTGTAATGTGATCAAACCCGAAATGGTTGCAAATGTCAGAAAAATCCGTTTACGAATGCAGAAGTTGCAGGGGTGGCTTGATACACCCTCTGTGCCACCCGGTATAGTGGTCGACCGTCGACCTTCGAAACCCTAGCAGGTCATTCAGGGGGTAATTTCATATGTTTCATCATGTTTTGTCATCTAGGTATTAGTTGGAGAATGAAATTAATGTTCTCGAGAAAAATCTAGAAGACCTGATTAGATTCAAAATGTTGATGGAAAGTGCATGACGATATAGAAGTAAACAAATAAGCTTCAATATCTCAAACTGAATTAAATTTAGGGACAGTCCTCCGGTCCTAAGAAAGCCGGTATTTTTCACCTCATTCGATATGAACGAGGCATTCAAACAAATTAATTAACCATGCACGCGTTGATAAAAGTGTATACCACTCTTTTAGAGGGAATCTGCTGTCGATTGTTTTTCTTTGTGTCGACACTAATATGAATAGGTACTGCTATTTTTGGTTCAATTTACAAAGAGAAATAATTGAACAACAAGGTGCGGGGGTACAAGGATTTGTAGAAGGACAATCAACATAATTAAAAAAAACTATCCCGAATATTTTCAGAGTAGCAACTGGAAATCCGGTGGTTTTCACTTTGACTCCACCAGAGTGTTACATGGAAATTCGTTATGGATATGGGACTGCAGGAAACAGAGTTACAGGGCCTGTGAGAGTTGGAGATCCTCTTACACTCATTATCTACATGAGAAGCAAATATGGTATGTAAATTATGTATATATACAGGAGAAAAACATCAGGAGCACTAACCTTTTTTCTCGCCTTCTTTTCGTTATGTCAAGTCGATGATTCTGGTCACCCAGGATTCCCAGGAACAATCAAATCTTCTTTATGTGCTCCTAATCTTCTACATTCAATTTTTTTCATCAATTCAACATTCAACCCTTGTGAGCCCCAGCTTATAATGACCTTGGGTTCAAAGCCATTAACAGAGTACCTATACTGTTATAAAATCCTTAGGACGTCTTCTTGTGTAATTCTATATACTATCAATATTGTCAAAAATCACTTTATTTTGGCCTTTGTGTGGACATTGATATAACTGATTTGATTTGGTAATTTTAACGAAAACTCGAAGGGTACAAACTCGATACAAACTACAACTGTAGATCACAACCCACAGGAGTCACAGGACGATAGTTTGTCTTGTAGATTCGAGTCACAGGTCACAGAATGTCAATGTAGAGGTGTGTATACTAGTACGACTGACCGTGATTCTGTATTATCGATATGATCAAATAAAGATCATTACAGATTTAATGATAATTACGATAATAAGAATGCTTGAAAAGCAATTATTATATCGATATTAGTACCCTGATGAATTTCCGATTTTACCTGCTATACAGGGTGAATGATGGGTATATCGTATATCGAGAATAAATATATAAATTCCATTCAGGGGTGTCTGTTCAGTATATGAGATTTTCGATGCCTATATAATATCTATAGGTATGTCTCATGTCCCTAATTGTCTGGCATTGAGTTGTGAGTTGACCAACCAACTCACAACGTTTTTGAAATTCCGCAATAATTGTTCATTTTGATAAAATCCTTTTCGAAACAAAAATTATTCAACAAAAAATATAGTTTAAGATATATGTTAGTGAAATGAAATTGGAACCTATACATATCGGGATACTTGCGATATTTTAATAAATTATGACTGAAAGGAATTCCTCTTCTATTATTTCGAAAATTGTTTGGTACTTTTAGAGACCACTATCGTCACCCAGTATTGCTCTGTTAGTTATAGGTCTACAGTGTGTACTTTTTTATCTCTTGGAGCGCACGACAGAGAATCCCATTAATGTTTCATTATTCATTGAATTTTCACGAATTCCACCAAAAAATCAATGTGGCCCGATCTTCCATTATACCTAAGCATTTAAATGTTCATTTCAGATGGATTTGATATTGTCGTGAACGATTGCTATGCTCATAACGGAGCAACAAAGAAAATACAGCTCATAGACGAGTATGGGTAAGAAGATACACTGTCTTTCCAATTCATTCTTATGGAGAGACTATCTAATTTTTTCAGATGTCCAGTGGATGATAAACTGATATCGAGGTTTAGGGGTTCGTGGACAGACGCAGGAGTGTTCGAAACACAAGTTTTTGCCTACATGAAAACCTTCAGATTCACTGGTTCACCTGCACTTTACATCGAATGTGACGTCCGAATGTGCCATGGAAGATGTCCGGTAAGACTATGGTTAATTAACCTATCGTAGCTAGGTAATATCCCGAGACCATGACAAATAGCCGACTATTATTTTCCTCATAATTCCATCGAGAGTACATTGTATTTTGACAATTTGATGAGACCGTATATGAAATATTAAATAATTAAATGAATTAAAGAAAATAGTAGTCTCAATTTGCCATGGTCGAGTGAAATTCTGGAAGATCATTTCATGAACCCAATTCATCTAAAGTTAGTGCTTCTAAACTTTCATTTCTTGTTTGAGGAAAATATTTCAGGCTTTGCTTTTTCGCCATATGCGCATCCCTGGCACCTTTCAATTCGATATTTTCATATGGATTTATCTTACGTTCAAGTTCAGCAAAGTATACTTCCTGTGAAGTTTTCCATATTAATTTAACTGTGTACTCTTCATATTCCTCACCACACTCTTCACCCAATCTTCCAGGATTTTGGCGATCACGAGAGTTGGGGTAGAGTCGCACAAAATGCATAGTTTTTCTGCTGACAAAAAACCAAAATTTGTTCCAGGCAGACTCTTTACTCTTCTCGTCATTTTCTGATATTGATTCGCTTACATAATTACTTCTGATTTATGTAGTGGAAGTAGACCCAAAACGAGACATTTCGATTTTTATGTGACTGATATAAAATGTCAAACTTACTAGTGTCAAATTTTGACGATCGTATAGCACTCCCTTATGCTGTCGAACAGAACAGTCGCTCATATTATGTTTGTTTACCTAAATCGCCGCTGGTATCGCATATCGTGTGACTTCAATCATGACATTTCATGGGTGCAGCTGAGGTGCAGCCATCATCAATGGTTTTTCGAAAAAGAAAAAATATCATTATCATCGTTGTTCCATTGAACCAGACATTTCTTGGATATTTCGTTATTTTATTTGAGTATTGATAAAATATTATTATTCATTTCGTATCACCATTATATTTTTGTGAAATTTCAGTTTTTTTTTTATTTTTCGCAATTATTATTCTATTGATTGATTGACTTAAAATCCAATTTCTGTCAACTTTTTTTTTCTCCTTATATATTTACAAGGAGCTGCATGTGCTCAAGATATATGATTTTTCACCAAAAAAATAAACAAAAAATTTACCTCAACCTTAAAATAAAAAATGAACTCTTAAAACAAACTGACCAGATAAAATATCTTGGTATTTGGTTTGATGACAGGTTGAAGTGGGACGAACATATTGATGTTCTGACAAAAAAAATATCTCAAATTATTGGTGCATTGAGAAGATGTCCCAAACTTGATATTGAAATTGCAAACATGATTCTCTACTCTCATATACTGAGTCGTATCAACTATTTGATAAATGTTTGGGGATCTTGTTCAACAAATAATTTCAATAAAATATCAACATTATATAGAAAATCGTTGAAAGTATTGTATCTTCTCCCATTTGATACACCAACCAATCAATCGTATGAAATAACAAATACGTATTCTTTAGATGAAATATATAGAATTGAAACTCTCAAAATATCATATAATATCATAAATAAAAAATTGAAGTCGAATATTATTTTGATACGGAATTCTGAAATTCATAATCATGAAACTAGACAATATAACTTGTTTCATCTTGATGCCGCTAGCTCCATAATCGGACAAAAAAGATTCACTCATTCAGCCTTATATAATCATGTACTTCCTTATACCAGAGCCTATTCTGTCTCTTCAATTAATAAAATAAATAAATTCTCATTCCAAAGTTATATCGGATATTATGAGGTTTATTTGCTGATTTGCCTTGGGAGTTCTATTATAAATCAAAAATAGGCCCCATTAATACATAAACCAATACCTAACTAATTACCCTAAGGACTTTTACTATAGTTTCGCGAATTTTATTTCAAAGCACCAGATCGCCATACATAACCGTCAATAGATGTATAGTAGTATAATACATTGTATACTATGAAGATTTAGGTACAGGTATTCGGTATATTATAGATTCATAAAAGGGAGACCTATTGTATATATGTATTCGAGTACATGTATATGTATAGGCAGGGCCGATCCTAGGGTGTCGGCCGCCCGCGTGCATAAACCTAATGTGCCGCCCCTCTAGAGAATTTTTCATATTTTTTACCTATAATACCTGATGACTTCATAACTTCAACTACTTGTACAAGGATAAGAAGTAAAACACAGAAAAAAAATGTAGACAAAATCTTCATGCGCCGCAGGCGAATTTTTTCTGAGTTCAAGGTCAAATGCTTTCAGGTAATAACTCCATTTCAGTGCATACCGGGAGCGGCCAAGAAACTCAGTCAAAATTTTCCTATGGCAAAAAATGCGCCGCAGGCGAAATTTTTTTTGGGATTCAAATTCATCACATTAGTATATTACAGTTTATTGTAATTGATATAAAATGATCTGGAATCTGAAAATAAGAACAATAAGAAGAGCAAGTGAAAAGTATTTTAAATGGTGTCTGTAGTTTAATCAAGTGGATGTTCTCCAGATATTTTGGGATTTTCTCTCATGGTCTCTTAGTAAGTAGTAGAAATGCATAAATAAGCTACCGCACAGTGATGGAACAAAACATCCTTAGGCGTCTGAAAAATATGCCCCCTGGTTATTGTTTCAAATAGAAATTTAAAATTTGGGAAGATAAGAATGTGTATAAAAAGTAGACATTAATTGACAATGGACCAACACACTATTTACTATCATTTTATTTATTCAAAATGCAGCATATTCATTCGACTTATGAGTTTCAAATAATTTTGTTTGATAGGACAATATGCGGCCTGCGGCCGCCCTTTGTTTTGGCCGCCCGCGTGCGGGGCACGCGCTGCACACCCGCTAGGATCGGCCCTGTGTATAGGTATAATAATTAACTTGATTTCAGAGTCAAACTTGCCACTGGAGGAACATAAAAACCGTCAAAAAGCGTTCTATAGATTCAGAAACAGATCCTAACACAACATCGCTTGCTACTGCTGTGCCAACCCTATCAGAAAACATCAATCTTTTCCAATCTTTGAGAGTGCTACAAGAAGGAGAGACTGATGAGGAAAGAAATATATCATTCACAAGTAAGCAATTTGGTGAGAAATGTGGAATACTTAGTCTATATCCAAAGTCAGTTGGATTTGAGCACATCAAGCAAGGAATGTCCGTCACGTGCACATACATCAAACAATGCTATAGGGCATGGTTTATGTTTTTTGTTGGAGCCGTTCCATGCAACTGACTTTGGAAACTCTGTATATTTGATGGAGTTTGTCTTGGGTGCTATATTTTACAATTGGTTCCCCACGTTGGGCGCCAATTGTAACCGACTGGATACGTATAGATTTTCTGTGTTAAACACAAAAGGGCAACAAAATGATTACTCGCGTAAGACTTAGGTTGAGTGAAATATTCATTAGCCAAATCATTGTCGGTTCGTTTGCAATAAATATTCAACTTGACCCAAGTTTTACGCGATTAATCATTACGTTGCTATACGTTGCCCTATACGTACCCATCAGTCGGTTAAACTTTTTTTTATGGTCTAGGTACTACACACGTCACTCTCGAGTTTCAAAATATACAAATAATAATTCACTATTTCACTATTACAATCAAATTGAACTGTAAATTAGGAGTTATATTGAAAGAAAAAAAGATTCTTCTGCCTAATTTACAGTTGCAACTGTAAATTATAAATAGAGAACTTTTTTTTCACACATCTCCTAATTTACAGTTGCAACTGTAATTCAGAATCTCACAGTGTCAGTTCTCACAATTTCTCACCAGACTACCATCAGACATAGACAGCTTTCATTCTCCGATAGCACGCAATGCGCTGGAGTGCTAATTTACAATTGCAACTGTGAATTAGGCGATATTTAGTAAAAAAGTTTCTTCTGCCTAATATATAGTTGCAATAACTGTAAATTAGGCAAATGTTCGTGAGAAAAAATTTTTTTTACGACTGGTCTGTACTGCCATCCTGAAAAAACTGTTTTTTTTTCACGAACATTTGCCTTATTTACAGTTGCAACTGTAACTTCGCAATAATTCACAGATGCAACTGTAAATTGGGCAGAAGAAACTTTTTGCTTCTAAATATCGCCTAATTTACAGTTGCAACTGTAAATTAGCACACATTTCACAGTTGCAACTGTAAATTAGCAGTAATCAAATCATTTCGCCAAACGGACTTCATGGTTTTCCAACAAAAAAAAACATTTCGTATGATCACTGTCCCCTAATAAGAGTTAATCACAACTCCATAGAGCAAGTGAGTCAGTTTAAGTATCTAGGCCTGACTGTAGATCAGAAATTAACATGGGAAGTACATATAGAAAACCTTGTCACGAAAGTGTGTGTGCTTTGTAATAAAACAATTACGAGAAACAGTCTCGCTATCATGTACCTACTTAAGCTGATTTACTATATGGACTTGTACAATCCATTTTATCATATGGATTGCCTTTCTGGGGGAACTCGGCACATGCAATAAAAGTTTTTAAAATTAAAAAAAAAGTGATAAGATGTCTAGCTGGTCTACATTACAAAGAATCATGTAAGAGTACATTCATCCAACTGGCCATACTGAGTTTACCCAGCCTCTACATTTATACGATAACAATGCACATTAGAAAAAATGAAACACACCATACCAAAAATAATATGATCCACATCTACAATACTAGAAGAGGTAATGAACTAAGATTACCTTATTCTCGTTTGGCTCTGGGACAGGACTCTGCGAGTTATCAAGGTATCATTTGCTATCACCATGCACTCAAACTATTTGGAAACGCATGTAGCTCAGGAAGTTTCAAATCAGCTCTACATAATCATCTAGTCCAAAATGCATTCTACTCTGTTGAGGAATTTTTACAATCTAAATGAGTATTCAATATTATAAAACTTTAATCCTTTAACTTCTATTTTAAAATGTTTGTGTCTGTTCAAATGTTTTCATTCCTGTTCTTGACTAGTCTGATAAAATTTTATAAATGTATGTAATACAGCGATGTAGTATTTTCAATGATGAATAAATTTCTATTCTAGTCTATTCTATTCTTTCATGACATTTTTCTTCAGGTTACCAAATGGATCCTCACAGTGTCTGCATGAAGACAGGATGGTTCTCTGCCCTTCTGGCTCTAGGTGGTGGAGCCATGTGCTTGTTAGGTGGAGCCCTTTTAGCGACTTGTTCCAGAATGAAAAAGGTCTCCATTGACAAGGTACTGGCCAGTACCCAGTTCAACGGATATATGAATCATAGGGGCAGCATCAATTGAAGAAGAAGATAAATTGAGATACCTACTTGAAAAGGACAATCTTTTACTGTGCAATTGGGAGTGCAATTATTTGAAAGTGATTTTGAAGTGGATAATGGGGGAGACCACTGATTTTTTAAAATGGCATTATCGTGAACTCTATACTGAAAAACTACCAGCGAATTAATTTTGAATTTTGTCATTCATGCTAAGACGATGGAAAAAATAAATTAGAATATGTCCATTTCAAAACACACAATTCCTGCGCCATTTGAAATTTTGTCAATTTAATGGTGTGACTGGTGCGACGTCTAATTCCCAACACGCCTATTGTCCTTGAACTGACCAATCACACTGCAACACTGCAGAATGACGAGGTATCAGAGAGAGATAGCTACAGTTCGGGACTAATACGTCACGACTCCACCATAATATTTGGCTGTTTGAAATTTCGAATGAAATCTGCTGATTTCAAAACGATATAGATTCGATTCTCTTCAACTTTAACTCATAATATTGATTGTACATCAAACGTAAATCATGTTTCGTCGATTGAAAGAGGTTTGAACGGATTTCTTCTCTCAGTGGTCTTCCCCACTTAGTTCCTCGTAGTTCCTATAATCCTATAAAGGGTGTCCCATAATTAGCGTGCAATACTCTTATTCACCAGCGATTTAATGATCAAAAATAAGAAAATAACTCCCTCATAGGTCGAATTTCTCTTAAGGTGGTACACTGAAGATAATTCTATCAACAGTTTCGAAGATATAAAATAAAAATCATCTTCAGGGTACCACCTTTAGGAGGATGTAGCTCGCTTATGAAACATTATTCGACCCATGTTCATAGAAACTTTTTTTCTTATTATTGATCGTAAAATCTGCCGGTGGAGTATTGCACGCATATACCGGGAAATAAAGTTGGTTACCTGCTACTTTTCTAATCAAATGATCATCTGATTTCATGTTTTATTAATTTCATCTTTGATTTTATCTCACTGGTATTTGCATCATAATAATTAGTAGGAAAGAATATTACTGAATTCTTTATTGTAACTGCCTCTACAGTTCATGGGACACTCATATAATGTTGATTAAACAAAGCATAGGTACTTTACATACATATATGGAGGATACAACATTTAGTATTAGTAGGTATATAAGTACGTAATATTGTAATTTTCAATTAAACAAGGTATAGTGAGTGATGTTATACAGGGTGACCCACAAGTTAATGTCTCTTAATTATTTCGCCCATCAGTCGATAGGTATCTGTATAACTTTTATATTCGATTTGGATAAAATATTTATACCTATTATTGGTGTTGTCAAACGTGAGTTTTGAACATACCGGTCAAAAATACAGAAATACGAATGCGAAACAAATAACGTCGACGAAACCGCAAAACCAAGTAATTGACAAAAATTCGAAAATGGGATTCTGGCGGCAATCGGTCTATCATATTGGTAGGGATATGAGTATGCAAAACCTCACAACTGGTAAAAAATTGTTAATATTTTAAAATCCATAAATACAAAACCCCTTATCTGAAAAACAAAATAAAAAACAAGTATCTAACAGTTGGCAACGTGATTCACGCCTCTGATATTTTGTGTTCAATTTCTTTTCACATAGATCGATCTCTGCTAATTGGTGAGTGACTTTTTATAGAACAGATATCTGAAACATTTTATTTTTAACTTCAATTGGTATTTCAACACAGGATGTGAGAATTTATCTCAAGTATTTGTTAAGTGGAAAGTCCAGAAAAATGAAGTTACGTGTTTTTGCGAATTACTTTTCTGAATAATTGTTGTTGCTTTCGCACAGAAGCAGATGTCAAAACCAAGTATCTTACGCTGGCAAACATAAACAATGACTTTTCTCAATGATCGATGTACAAACGGAAAGATAATAATAATCAGGTGTTTTGTTACTATTTTAGTGTTTTTAGTGGTTTTGCGGTTTCGTCGACGATAAGTAACATTAATTTTTGAGTTATTTATTTTGAGTAGGTAGGTACCTTACATTAGAGGGGTCACAAACTATCAATTTGATACAGTGCCTTTTTATTGAATTAAAATAATTGTCGACTCAATTTAGGGCATGTAGGTGCGGACAAAACGAAATAGTTAATTCAAAGTTAGCTACAAAGATTTTTTTGTTCTAGGTTGAAAGTGCTTTTAAATTGAATAGTTATTTTTGTATCTAGAGCGCGAAATGCTACTTTGGTGATCGAGATCTGATTTTTTTAACGAGGCGTAGCCGAGTTAAAACAATAGTCGAGATGTCCGGAAAAATCTCGTGGGTGCAGTGGGACACCCTGTATTTTGAAGTTATGTGAATTTAATAATAGTGCGAACTATTGCTGATCGAATCTTCTCCTATATGTATGCTACAAAAATGATATGTTTCATTACAATAGAGACATCATTTGGTATTTATAATATGTATATACAGTCATTTTTAGTATGATAGATACTGAGATATACAGGGTGAGTCAAAAATGTGTAGCAAAGCTTTCTGGAGGTGATAGTATGGGTTAAAAAATAAGTATATACTTTAATAGATAAACTTATGGCTCAAAATGCATTTAAGGGAGATATATCCTTCCGAAGTTGATGAAATTAAAATAATTTTGTCGTATAACTTCTCAATAGTGAAAGCCACCATCACCAGATTGAAATTATCTGCATAAATGTATGTTTTTGGATGTATGACAAATTGATATTCATCATACTATATAGAGAAATACATTGCATGAGAATTCGCATTCTCTTTGTGATGAAAATATGAATTCTTCCTTGGTTTATTCAACAGAAAAACAACTACTTTCCTGGCTATATGACACGACGAACATTGAATTATATCTGTGGAACATCCAAAAGGAGAGCATTAACATTATGATATCGTTATAAAGGGTGTTTTCAGAGGTTGGTTCATGATTTTGTGAAGAAAACTTCTTTCCTTGTATTTTCTTTGGTGAAAATATGGCAGCTTTCGATAAAGCAAAGAAAATTATATAGAAAAGGCACTCCAATCAAATTACGAAAAAATGGACCGTTTGCAAGATATTTGATCTTTTTAGTCATATATCAGCATCAGATTGGGTAACAATATTTTAGGAGGCCATTATTTCCTTGTTTTTTTTTTCTTAGTACCTAATATCATCTAGTGTAATTTTCAACTAAGATTTCAAGAAATGGCAGGTTATTCGTTATTCAAAAATGATTCCCGTTCGATGCCTTCCAAATTTTAGAACAATTTTAAGGATTGTGCATGATTGCGTGAATCATAATGTTTCAAAACGAAAAATAGAGATGGGTGCGGTCTGCCAAGAAGTCCGAGACCTCCTAAAATATTGTTACTGATGAATTCATCTACTGATATCATGTGATTAGACAAACTCTAATATCTCGAAAACGGTTCAATTTTTTGTATTTTGATAAGTGTGCCTTTTTTATGTAATTTTCTTCGCTTTATCAAATGATCCTATTTGTTTACCGAAACGATTACAAGAAAAGAAGTTGTCTGCACCAAATCATAACCCAACCTGTGAAAACACGACCCTTTATATCGATATAATAAATTTAGAAGTGTATCGGAAAAAAATTATTTCAACGACATTTATGCAGATTATTTCGATCTGGGGGCTCTGTTGAAGCGCACGAAGGAAAATTCCTATAATGTTAGAAGAACATCGTTCGTGCCTAGGGAGGATAGGATGAGGAAGAAGGTATTGGCAAGTATTGGATTCTTTTTGAACTCTTAGAGGTTATAAGTTAGAAGTTATTTCAATTTAATCAACTTTGGAAGGATAGATCTCCCTTTATACATTTTGGACCTATATACTTATTTTGGAATGTGCTATCACCTCCAGAAAGCTCGATACATAATTTTGACTCACCCTGTAGCTACATTTATACCTATCTTATCTTATTATTGACCATAAAAAAGTAGAAACTGAATAAATAAAATGCAGAGACTGAGATTGTGTAATATTTATTCAAGTGTTCCTCCCAATCAGTTTCCCTTTTTTCAACATTCCAAGAAACATGCAATATCAATATGTCAATATCAGATGCTCAGGCAACATTTGGTCGTTTTGAGATATACTCTCTGATGCCAGGTAGACCATGAACTTTCTGTTTGAGAGCTTTGATATATGTAGTGTTAGCTACAATGTCTTTGCCTGACATAAAACTGATATACTCACTAGCACCCACTAGATGTAGATCAGCCCAAGTCAACTGAAAAATAATAATAATAGTTATGTCAGTAATGATCGATAAATAATTTGAATTCAGCCAAAGTATTCGATATAGGGGGATACGATATAGGTTGTACAGGATGTTGCGAAATTCGACCGACAACGCTTGACAGGTGATAACCCTCGTGATTTCATAATCACTGAGATAGGGACATACGGTCTTTAAGTGTTCAGTTCTCGAGATACAGGGCGCGTTGAAGTTACGAAATTAAAATAGTTTTTTCGCAATATCTCAAGAAAAATTGAATATAATGCATCCAAATTCGGTGTATTTCGGTGACAATACATTATGGAATTTTTGTTGAAATTAAAAAAAATGGCTGCCCCAAGATGGCGGACAAGATTTGGTCCGATTCGATTCAAAATTGGTAAGTGGGGGTTTTTGGGGTCGGAGATCATGATTTTTTTGTTAAAATTTATAAATTCAAGATGGCGGCTTCCAAATAATTTTTTGTTCTTGTATAAATGACGATAACGTGAATCACTGTAACCTAATAAACTTGCATCAGCATGGTTATATCAAAGGAAGATCTGTACAAACTGCTATTATTCAATTTACAGAAAAAATAATAGAATCTTTTGAAAAAAATGAGATTTTGCTAGGAATTTTCTTAGACTTGTCTAAAGCTTATGACTGCTTGAGCCACAATTGTTTGCTATCAAAACTTGAGAAATATGGAATCCGTGGCAATGCATTCAAATGGTTTGAGTCATACCTATTAGATCGAAAACAAAGAGTAAAAATTATGCATGAAGGTAAAATCACTAAGTCACACATAAAAGAATACAGAATAGGGATTCCACAGGGAAGTATTACAGGTCCAATTTTATTTGCAATCTTTATGAATGACATAATATCAATATTAAACAACGATAACAGCCTGATAACCAGCTATGCTGATGATACCAATTTACTAACTTCAAGTTCAAACTACCCAGAACTCTGCGAAAATTCTAAAAGTCTCATTATGAGAGCTGATGAGTGGTTCTCAAAAAATAATCTCTTACTCAACAAAGAAAAAACTCATGTTATCCTTTTCCGGACCTCACAGCAAAGAATTACAACTCCAACTAGTATAAGACTTCTCGAAACTAACATCAATATAGAAAGTAACACAAAATTCTTGGGTGTTTTTATAAATGAAAACTTAAAGTGGGATACACACATCAACTATCTTGGAGCAAAACTAAACCAAATAGCATACAGCATTCGTATACTTTGTAAATACCTGAATGAAAAGTCCCTAAAAATTATCTATCATGCGAACTTTGAATCCACTGCAAAATTTGGCATAATATTTTGGGGATCGAGCAGTCAAACTAAGGAAATATTCCAGATCCAGAAGAGGGTTATAAGATCATTGTACAATATGAAATATGTTGAAACGTGCAGAGGTACCTTCAGATCAAATAAAATAATGACCATATTTGCTCTATATATTTATGAATGTGTCATACATCTGTATAAAAATAAAATGAATTTCACACAAAGTAATAATAGCAGATACCCCATTCGGAACAGGAATTTCACTTTTCCAACACATAGTTTAACTTCAACAGAAAAGCATCCAAATTATTCAGCAATTAGATTTTTCAATAGATTACCAAATGAAATGAAAGTGATTGATAGTGTGAAAAAATTCAAGAATCATCTGAAGAACTGGCTTACTGAACTAGAACCGTATTCTATAGATGAATATTTGAATGTAAATATCTAAATTCAAACTAATTTATTTATTTTCTATGTTTTGTGACACTGTTTCATTCTTTGTTATATGTTTTATATAAAATGTAAACCTTTTTTTGAAATAAAGTATATTAATAATAATAATAATAATAATAATAACTCCGTTGTTATCAACACAAAACTATTACTGCGATACATCATCTGGAAGTGAAAAAAAAGTTATTTGTAACTTAGTCATAGTGAGCTATGACCTCTACATTTGAAAACTAAAGTTGGTGCTGATATCTCAAATTCTAGAAGAGTTGGCATGAATTTCATATTTTTTTCGAAATCACTTTGAAAAACTGCCATGAGAATGAGAAATTCCTATTTGAATATTTTCATAAACAAAAGAAGTTACGGAGGAGACATGAAAATGATCAAAATCTGTTTTTTGCGTATAAAACAAAAACGAATAGATTTTATCAAAAATTTTTTTTCACATTATAGTTGGCCTTGACAAACTCCACATATGGTGTCATTTAACCGACCTCGTATCTCTCACCGTTTAAAAGATACCCATGGTGAGCATCGTAAGTGGGACACACTGTATAGTATCTTGAATATACACGGAATATTTTATCAATGAGCACCCAACTTATTTTGCATTTTTCTACCTATTCTAACAACGGGGCCACCTTTTTTGAGACACCCTGTATATGAAGGTGATTAAAACTAAAAAAAATCTCGAAAATGTCAGGTAATGGTTATGTATATCTGGATTAATTTGTTCCTGGAATAATTGTTCCTTATTGTCCCTTTATCCTTGCATAAAATTAATTTTTAATTCTAGATGATCGTGAAACCGCCATTTCAATGAAATTTTGCAAATGTACTCACATGCCCACCAACTAAATAGCCATTATTATCTTGTATCTGTTTTTCGAGTTTTCCAATATAAAAAGGCAACAATTCGTCTAGGGTGGGGCCCTCTTTATTCTTTTTAACTTTTTCATCTGGTTCATAATAGTAATCGACAGTTTCTGAAAAATATGTATTATGTATCAATATTACTTATTTATTACCTCGTATGTTGAGCGGTGATTTTTTTTATTACTTTGGAATAGATCGGATACAACATCAGCAGTTTGATCGATTTCCAAGTTTTCCAAATCATCCTTTCCAACCAATTTCACTTGTTTTGCTAGGTATCTTGCAATAGCTCTACATTGGTAATAGGTTTTGCCATTGTATTCCAAGATGGGTATCTGTCCAAATGGCATTTCTGAATTGAAAAAAAGTATTACTTCAATTTTTTTTTAAGTTCTGGTTCCCACGAAAAGGGATATCCTGTAATGTTCAGAGAACATTCGTGAGAACCAAGGGAAATAAGGTAGGAATTGGTGTTCTTCTAAAATTCTGGAAGTTGTATGCCTTGGGGAACACCTCCCTTGGCACTGTGTTCGTTGGATAAACGAGTCTTTGGAAAGAGATGTTCTGCAGGTCTCCAAAGTGACCATGAAATAGTGCGAAGCAGCAACATTGGTATTTCAAATGGAACACCCTGTATTTTATGGCATTCTTAGATTCTCCGTGAAGAGCTGATTTTATTGATATATTACACTTGGATTCTTTTGTGTCGAAACTATTCATCGTCGGTCAAAACGACGTGTCCCTATCAAAACGTTTGATTCACTATTCACTGATATTGTATCGGAGCAGATACAGGGTGGTTCGAGATTCAGAATTTTGATCACCATGTATCTGTTCCCAATAAAGTAAATCAAAAGTTGAGTAGGGATTTCTTATGGTTTAGAATGGCCATAACTTTTTCCCTAGTGTTACGGTTCACAGTAACACTTTGTATTATCGATTTTAGTATGCTGTGATTGATTTTTGACTTTAGTTTGACAATAAATAAAATAATTTTCTGAAAGGTTTGTCATTGATCTTTGAAAGAAAATAATACAAATTCAGGCCAAAGTATATAACGACAATTTCTGGTCTGAATACCTAGTATAGTAGTTTCTCACATTTTTCGTTCAGAAAATGATTTTCGCGTGCTCGGCTTCGCAGTCGCTCCGCCTCGCAAACGCAAATTTCGCTTGGCAAACTATATATAAGTGTCACATTTTTTATCCTATCAAAACAATGAACTATATATTTTGGGGTATACGATATATGTACGTATCACACTTTTATTTTTTGACTATAGCACTTTAATTGGATAATAGGTCTATGCCGGGATCGGATCAATTTCGGATGAAGGTAAGTTGCTTCAAATCGGCTTATTTTGACGTCAGGAATATGTGCTAAAGATTTTGTATCGACCTTTTAGGGTTTTAGGGACTATTTAATCCACTTTTTCGAATATTTTTTCTCGATATCTGGTCATGAATGATTTGATAACGAGATAAGAATTATGCCATCCGATACCAATTGAATGGTAGATCTCAAAAACCTACCTCTCAGTCTGTCAAATAAACGGCACGGCGATTTATTTGCTGCTATTATTCCGGACATACTTTCGTCATGTGATAACAAGTTGAAACAAAGAGCAATTTTTAAATCATTCTTTTCAGGATAGTGATTGGCCAAGGTGCTGTTCGATGAACAATAATGTTTTTTCTGTGACGGGAAAAAAGTTTGGCATTTCATCTCTGTTGGCAGGTTATAAAATGTCACTTTTCATAAATTACTTTTTTCCCGTGGGAAAAAAGTGAGTACTTCTTTCCCGGATATATATCACATATATATACTCTGTTAATGGCTTTTGTTGTGCTATAGTTCCGAAAAATAAGTCAATAATACCGTCTCCGAGAAAGAACTGCAAGACCTTTTATCTTCCATTCGACTTCGCGGTTTCGTATATTACTAAACAACTACTGAATTCGCAATTTTTTAAAATCAAATCACAGAATTGAACTGACAGAAGTGACATCAGATATTTGATTACTTCAAAAGAATGATGAAGATGTCTATAAAACGCAGGTGCCCCTAATGTTAAAAACTTGAAATTTCACGTCGATAATTTTCAGATTTCGAAATAATGTAATATCTTCCCAATATTGATTCGTCCTTCCTTCTGTCACAGAAAAAAATAGTGTATTATACACGGGAAAAATATTAGATTTTAGCTCACGGTTTTTTGTCTCCCTCCGCTACGCGTCGGGAGACAACACAACCTGGAGCTAAAATCTACTACTTTTTTCCCTTGTATAATAAATAACTATTTTACATGCATTTGGGACATCACCATTAAACTAAGGAACACAAATAACAATATGAATTAACAATAATCCCAATCAATAAGTTGATCTAGAGGTATATGTAGAAACACTCACTGGATTTTATCGCAGGCCATTCCGTAAATTCTTCAATTCGTACATCTTCGAATTCAATTCCTCCGTAGTGAAAAAGGAACCTTATCACTTCTCCGAGTCCCGTAAGATTAAAATAAGTCAACTTATAAGCTGGTGCCATTCTTTAGAATAGATTCTACCAACAATTTAGTCGAAAAAATATCACAGTTCCTATACAAACCGGTGTAAACTGTGCCAAAGAGTCCACTGACTGATAGTCGTAAGTAGGTACCCTCACCTGCACGTTATTTATACTAGAGGTAGATAAACAATCTGCTCATTGTCACTAGACGATGATGCAATGACGGTTAAAGATGAAAAAGATAACTCTCAATGAAATCATTGTAAGACCACAGATCACCGAATAGGTATATACTACCACAGGTCAGTGCCAGATTTTGGGGGGGGCTATGGGACTATCAGCCCCCGGCGGTAAATTTAAAGAGGCGGTAGAGAAAAAGAGAAAAAGCAAGCAGCAGTACAGTCGTCGCCGAAGAGGCGACAAATATATTACATTGCTTCTTGCTTTTTATATGCCGCCTCTTCAGTCGCCTTCTGAAGCAAACGCGCAATTACCTACCGCTGGCACCGCATCAGAAGGACTTGGTTAGGATACTGTTTTTGTAATGATAAGAAAAAAATCGCATTCTACTCAGTAGAGTAGGGGTAATTTCGTGATTCGTCTAACTCAATAACAAAAAACAAAATCAGAGTTCAGTATGTAATTGGTTGTTGTTGCGGTATTGTTGGTAATGGTACTAATTATGAATAAATATTGAAACTGATATTTAAAAAAATCTGGTTGTTTTCTGGTATGATATATTAGAGAGAACAGATCAAGTCAGCAAGTCCCTGCAAAACTCAAGCATAGACCTGTTGGATACGTGATACGTGTCTCATGCAGTTTATATATTTCATTGAGAAAGTATTATGAATGTTTGCGAGAAAAAGTTCAATTTTTACGAAAAAGAGGCACACTATTACTCTCGGTAAGGAGGTCAAAACCCGTAAGAGGAAACTGATGGGCTCTTGAAGAAACTGACACTGAAGCTTTGAGACCATGCACAGACCAGAATGCGAACCCAAGTATTCCTCAAAGCAGTCGATCATTTGGTGGGTGAAGTAAAAATTCGTGCTGAAGCCTACAAAGATCTCTCTTTTACATTCGTATTTGTGTTCTCAATTGCATCTCTGCCAGATGATGTCATCATGCATAGATTAAGCACGTGTTTTGATTGATTTGATTTCTATTGCCGAAAACAAAAGTAAGGAAATATTCAATGCGAGATCGTTGATGGCACTTTTGCACAAATACAAGATCACAGATACTTTTTGCAATGTGGAACTACCTCTAAGAATTTTCCTTTCCCTGATGATTAGTAATATGCCAGTGGTGAAAGGTCGACTTCAATTATTAGTGAAGTTGACGATATTTTCATTGGTAATGTGAATATATTTCACGCAAGTGAAGTGAATTCATGGAAGAACTGCGAATTTTTCAAGTCATGAAAATGGTTCAGGTGGAATTGGAAAAATATTCCAATTTTTTTTTCTGAATCTCCACATAGGACCATATATTGTATAGTAGAGGTTCCGAAGTGAGCTCGACCTTCACCCATTTGTTTAATGGATGAAAATTATTTTATAAGTAGGTAATTTAGCATGTTAACAATTATAAAAAAATGGATTTCCTGAAAAAATCCTGACCAGGCTATAATTAATTAAAAATTCAAAATAGCTATTTGTGTATTTAGAGCGCAAAGTGATAGATTGTCGCTCGCTCCGCATCGCGCGGTAATCTTTGTAGAGCGGCAATGACACTTTGTGCTCGAAATACACACAAGATTTTTTCTTCAAACGCAGCTTTTGGAAATAACTGCCCTGAAAGTATGAGCGATTGAAATAGTTCTTATCCATATTATCCTATATGTCCAAAGAAATAAAAAAAAACTTAAAATAACTGACAAGGCAGAAAAAAAATGTCGGGCCTACCGAGAATTGAAACCGGACCATCAGCTTCAGACCTCTGAGCTATAGTACAATAAACTTTGCAATCAAATTCTGTCTTTCTGATGATGAGAAAGAGTTTAAATATAAAGTATAATTTTACGTCAACTTTATTGTGTTAGAATTTGAAAGCGTCAAAGGCTACTTTGTTAAGCGTTTGTAGAAAAATATTTTTTTATTTTACCGATGAGTTTAATGAAAAAAATTGTACACCAACACATGTTATTTGCATCGTTGATTGATATATTACGCCTGCGCTTACGCACCATGTACAGGTTAGCGTAATATCAATCAACGTTTGCATTTGACTATAAGCCTATAGAAAATGCAAGAGTAGGGTTGCCTTTATTTTTCCCGGTCTAACTTTTCGGGGTTGCCAGCTACAAACAGGTAATTTGGTCCTAGTTATCTTCACCTGCTTCTTTATTCTATGAACTAAACATAGAAATTAGCACTGTTTTATTGCAAACACAATAATACAGGGTTGCCGCAAAAGTTTGTCCTGAATTAGGTCAATTGGTGAATAAATAATCATAACTGACATTGCAAAAACAAATTTATTTTTCAAATCATTCCTAAATAGAATATATGCCACTTATTATAAATATTTTCTATGATTATAGATAAAACTGATATAAAACTTGCAATATCACGATGAAAATTGGATATTGTAGTGTGCAAATGTAATATATACAGGCTGTTTCACGGTGGTTGGCACATTATAGACGTTTCTGGACGTTTTTGGTGACCCAGACATCGGTTCACTTTGAAATTTTGATAGAGAGGATAATCGAAAACTCTCTATCCAACTAAAAAATTTTCAACAATGCGCCGTTGTTGCCACTTCTATCAGAAAGTAGTAGCAATTTTGATATTTCGAAAGGAATTTCATTGCATTTTTGGATTCTTCCTGAAGAGCTAATTTCATCAATATATCACAATTTCGGGCGATTGAGGGGAATGATTAGAGAGATATAGGGTGTTATAAATCGAGATTTTCGAACTGTAGCACCATTCTCTGTCGAAACTATTCATTATATCGGTCAAGACGGTTTTCATCTCAACTTTTTTCTCAACAATTCACTATTTGCTGACATTCAATTGGAAAAAATACAGGGTGGTTCACGATTCAGAATTCTGATCACCCAGTATCTGTTCCAATTGAATGTCAGTAAATATTGAATCGAAAGTTAAGCTAGTGACTTGAAGGCCGTTTTTACTGATAATGAATACCTACTTGGTTTTCACTAAAAAAAATTCTCAAGTTGAGAAATCTCACTTTGAACACCCATATTATCTCTGTAATAATTCCAGCTTGACCCCAAGTGTGATAAATCAGCTCTCCAGGGAGAATAAAAAAATACAATGAAATACAGGGTGTTCCATGTGAAATATCAAAGTTGCTACTACTTTCTAATAAAAGTGGCAACACTGCATTGTCTAAAATATTCGAGTTGGGTTGGGAACATGCTCTCCATCAAATTTATGAAAGGATATGGTGTCTGGTTCACCAGAAACGTCTAATGTGCTATATTTAAACTTTTCATGTCTCATTCATAATATTATGTTGAAACAAGACTAGGACAACTTTTTTACATCTTGACTATTCAGTAAGTCTTTTTCATTTAAAGGCTCATGTAGTTTTAAGATAAGATCAACATTCTTGATGGGTATCCTAAAGTTGAGTAATCTTTGTCTAGCTTTACCACAAGGTCATCCACAACATGAAAATTGATCCATTTCAATAATAGGTATATCTACTTACTAGTGAAAAACTGGTTTATATTAGGAACTTTACATCAACTAAGTAGTATTAGGTCCTACATTATCACTATCTGTTTGGATGATACAAATTACCTTTAAATTGTGCCATCTGAGTGATATTAACCAGTGGTACTTGTAGATATAAACCAATAACAAAATTGCAATATCATGCTTATTGTGGTGACTGAGCTTGGGTCTCCTCAGATGTAAACAACAATGATTGTAATTTATTATCTAAATTAAAGAGTAGAATTAATAAATCAGCAAGTGTTCATATAAAAATTCTTTTATCTAGATCTATGGATGTGCTGGGTTCACTTAGACTCTAGATATCAACTTCACCTACTGTTACAATAACATGGGGTCATAATAATTTCAATATAAACAACCTGTTCAAACTCTACCATCTTCTTCAAGCAGAATTATGAAGTACCCTATTGAAGGCAGCATATGAGCCTTCAAGATCAAATAGCAACTGTCTCACTTGAGACTCAGATAATTCATCAGAGGCCTGCATGGAATTCAAAGTAGCTAGCCATTCCACAACTTTCTGTTTGCCTTCAAAATCTGATGGTAAAATGCTGAGCCTGTTCATTGTATCCACCAAGTCTCTGACTTCAGGGTGTAAATCATCCATTGCTCGTATATCTAATCTTAGTTTATCCATGATAGTAATGAAAAGTGAGACTATATCTGCTATGCATTTGCTTGTATTGCCCTTATCATCCTTAATGGTTATAGGTCTGTCTTCATGAATTCGTTCCAAAGCTGCAGGACAATCCAACTAAAAGATTGAATGAAAGTGTTGAGAGATATAACTATGAAAATGAAGTCAGTATTCTTACTCTATATTTTTTCACAAATGCATCAACTGCTGGAAATTCATCACTTTGCACTTGTCTGAATGCTGCCTTATATTGCACCAACAGTTTGCTACAAGCACCTGTATATTCTTTGGGCGTGACACAATCCCTGATGTATGCCTTCTCTAATTGTTGCAATGTGTTGATGACTGCATAAAGGTCCGCCAAATTATCAAACCTGAAATATGTTGATATAGAATGATGGAATCATTGTGATGATGATCTTGTTACTTCTCTCTTTGTCTAGCGTTATTATATAGTTTGACTTCTTCATACAGCTCTGGGCGATTTTCTGAAATAATAGATTGGAAAATATAACAGATGTTGGAATATTCTAAGAACACCAACCTGGAGTTGCAGACATTTCAAAGAATTATTGTACCAAAAAAGTTGATTTGAAAACCAGAAGTGGAGAAACGGTGAATCTGAGATAAAAAATAAATTCAAAGGTGATAAAATTGAACCTACTAATCCTACTATTTCATTCTTTGACAAGAAAACAATAATATTTTTTCAAAATCTGACAGCTGATCAGCCACATTCCATGCAGACGACTGAACTGTACTGTCCCGTGTCACTCGTGTCAGTTGTCACCTGTTTCAATTTGACTTCGAGTTGTTCTCTCGCTGACACAAGACATCTTGATTCTTGACCCACGAGTGCCTGCCGACTGATCTCGCACAATACATTCATCATTCTGGCTTCCAACACACTACTATGCTACTGTGCACACTGCACGCGATTCTGCTGCGGGATTTACCAAGTGAGACGGCGGAATAGCGCAGTGGCAGAGGCGCTCAACTAGTAATCAGATCATCAAAAAGTTGATAGGTTCGAATCCCCGGCAGAGCAGATGATTGTAATCTACTAGAGTCACTGGATGGTATTAGTTTGATAAGAGTTCGGACACAGAAATGACAACGGTTAGGGTTTTTCAATGTTTAGATTTAATAAGTTACACACCTTGCATTGTGACAAGAGCACCATAGTCGTCCCGCTCTTTTTCATTCAAAATTGTTTGAATTTGACAATAAATTTTATAAACGTCAGAATTGAAATAATATTTCATAATTATACTTTCGAGGAGAAAGCAGTTATGGAAATCACTTACTGTGTAATGAATTGTGCCAATTCTGAAAAAATGGATATCATTCATTCAATTTTCCAAAACAAATATCAACCATTCGCTTATGGAAGGAAGATATACACGGCCTGGGTGGAAAATCAATTTGAAGAAGAGCAAAATTCGTGAGGTACACATTAGAATTCACTTCTTGTAACAGCATCTGATCAAAATGAAACTATATTTTAGGCCCATTTTCAAACAGAAGATTTCAAATTTGTTCTGAGAAATTCTGCTGTTTCATCAATTAACAAAGCAGACGATTACAAGAACAAAATTCCAGTATTATCATCACACAAAATACAGAACAAAATAATCATGGAAAAAGAGAAAATGATCGTAAAATTACATAATGAAATTAATGATTTGAAAACGAAACTATAAGAAGCAAGAAAACTACAACGTGAAATATTATTGAATATGGCGTTTTTGGTGCCGACCAAATTCAAAATTCCACAGTGAAAAGTGAATAGGTGTTTATGATACATAAGGGCCTCAATTACGCTGTAGGTTATCGTTTTGGAAATATTTTCTATATAGATCCATGTTATACATAGCTCCTAGGGCGGTAAGTGTAGTTGCTGAGAACTTCACAAAACCAAGTATTTGCTGGGTCTCGTCAAATTAAACTAATAAACTACTTTTTTTCTATGAAATGTTTATTGAACCATGATTTGTTCTCTGTATGTCAACACCCTGTATCTGTATAAATGAAACATTTCCGGACACAAGCTTATGTAGACTTTTTTTCTTAAAATTGTCTCAGTAATACTTCACTTGAACGTACTTATGTTACTTTCTGTATATTCCTGAAAAACCTTCCTTCAATTTAATATTAATAACTTCATGTTTTATACTTTATCACCCTGGAGTACAGTTTCACATACAATAAGGAATTATAGCAATAAGTTTATCCATATGTGTATATTTTCTAATATCAAAATGTTGTTACATGCATTTTCTTTCCATTTATATAACAGTCGTTCTGCTAGAAGTGTATCACTATGAATTGAAGTGGGTGTTTGTACCCCATATCCATTGTCCATCTACGGCTATGATTGATGACAGAAAATATAACCTCTAAAATCGTATCTGACAATCACGCGCTACTAGGGAAATTGAAAAGACAAAGAGCAGAATATATGTCTCATTCTTTTATTCACTTAAACCATTGTATTATAGAAAATAGAAAAGGACAAAAGTTCAGCTGTGTCCGAACTCTTATCAAACTAATAGCATCCAGTGACTCTAGTAATCTACTATATTGATTTATGAGTTCTAATTTTCGTAGCCTCGGCCAGAGATGATTTTGCACAATTCGCTGTTGCGTACCAATCATCAGTGCTGCTTTTGAGTTGGCGTATGAAGTTAGTAAGGAAGCCTACACAGAAACTGAAAAGTTGTTGAAAAATATGACAACTTTAGTTACATCAAGAAACTCGCTCGAAACTTCAAAGGGCGCAGCAGTGCGACCCGACATTCTTTTTACGATCTGTTCCAACTGAATTTACATAAGTAAGTAATTTTCCGAGGAATATACTCTTCAAGTTTCAATCAGTCATATTACATAAGTTTATATCGTCATCGCCATAGTTATTACGCTATCGGTAAGAACATTATGCAAAACTCCTATTCACGGTAGTCAAGGTCATCATCTGACGTTGCGATGACATGAAAACTACGGAAGAACATCCATAACTCCTGGCTTATTAGATTGAAAGGTAGCCAGAAGGTAATGAATTAGGACATTTGATTTAGACTCTCTGATAGAAAAATTTTGTTATTTTGTACCTGAGGGTGATTCGATCATACAAATCGTTTCGTGGCACGGATAGCATGATCCAATATATAGGGAGGTGTGAAACTCGTAACCAATGCTATGAAAATGCCCCAACTTTATTTGTTTCAAGGTTCATCTCATTTCTTCTACAGAAATATGATTCTCCGAACACATTTATATAAAATAGGTATTCTTGTTAGAATGCTGTTAAACGAACCGTTGTCTAGAAGAGTATTATTTTTGTTTTATTTGGGTTCTTCGGCGTGATCTTGATTTTTTGGGGAAATATCTCTTTAGCTCTAGATCTCTAGCGTCCTTAGGAAGCATTTTGGACACATTTTGTCAGAGCATCTTTTCCAGGATCACCTCCCGGTGTATACGAACGTTATTCTGGGACACCCTGTATGAATATCTAAGCTAACATCAGGTGGCCACTTCGAAGGCGCAAATTCATTTCTACATGGGAGATACTCTACAGATTTTTTGCTATTCAGTGACTTGACCAACCAACCAAATCTAAAAGTCGATCCGATATGGATACAAAATTATTGTAGTGTAGAGGATTAATTTGTGGCGTTTCAAGTAATTTTCCCAAAAATAGATTATCACAACTTCCTGAAGAAGTTATATTTAGGCCGATTCATGTCAGATTGTTGAGAAAACGTAGTCTGCTTTCCTATGCAGGAAGATTATTATTATTTACCTTCCTTATATTACGTTATTATGTTGGTAGCCAGAATGATGGATGTCGTGCGCGAAACTGTCTGCAGGCACTCGTCATAAAACCACAGATATCATAAAACGTCATTGATGTGTTATTATTGACATGCACTTGACATGATTGTCAATTGTCATCATTCGTAAAAATGCGAAAAATGTCAGGAAAGATAAAAAAGGAATTGATTTAAAAAACATTAAAAAAATATTAAAATCAGAATTTCTTTTACGAATGGTAGAATATTTCATCTGTATTATTCTGGGGCAGTGTTTTGGTTCTTTTATGGCAAGATTGGCAAGTTATAAGAATTACATAACGTTGATGTTGACCTGAGATCAATATTCCCGGACCTGCTCAATAATCTTGAAATCGAAAATATATAAATTACTCGCTAGAATAGGTGATATTGGCTACTAAAAAAGTCTTTTTGGGGTGTACATACTTGAGTTATTGAATTCGAGGAAAACATCAAACTACATTCTGTATTGTAGGCATGTTTCCAACAGGTCATGTCATATACAGAACTGGAACATGGGTATCAAGGTTTGTGTAAGGCAACCAGAGTAACCAGACCAACACACTTTTATCTAGGAGCAGTAAGTTAAATATCTTTCTTTGAACCCTTTGAACCTTCTCATTTCTTTCATTGATTAATGCATCTTTTAGTTTTATTTCTTTTGAATCCATGGAAGTTAGAAATAGCAATAATGGAAACTGTGTCCCATCAGTTATTGTTGAAGATGTGGACAATCCAATGCTTGCAATTTCACACAATTGGCACAGGGTACTTACTGGTTTTGAGCTTTTTTTGCACAAACATTATTTGTAGATAGAACTTCAGTTTTTTAATAAATGTGCATTCTTGATGTTTCTACATATACCAGTTGCTATAACTGCTAGCATATCTCTTCAAGCACCAAGAATTTATTCTGCTGGAATCTTTACATGTATCTTGCTCCTCATGTGTTATTTGCTTTTTAGCAACCTGAATGTTCATGATCTTAGTGCTCTTTTTATTGGAAGCACTTTTTTTTTAAACAGTACCATGCAATCTGAGACATTGATCTTACATTCATAATTATTGTTGATATTTTTCATATTTGGCTATTCTGGTGGAATTTAGGTATAATAAACAAACAGATTCCTTTGTATTGTTGTTTAGATTGAATTTTGTGATGAATGCAGGATGTGTTAAATGATAAGATACATGGATTTATATTTTTAAATTTCAAACCTCACTGTAGGTTCTTACCATAGATATCCATACTTCATTCTTATTTACTCCTAAATGATCCAATGAGAAAATGCCCAGTCCAGTTTATAATGCATGACAAATAACTCATGGTGAATAATTTATAATTTTGAAACAAGAATAATTCACATGATTTATAAAATTTGGTCAATTTTGTGAGTGAGTTTTGGTCAAATTATATGTTCAAAAGATATTCTGGCTGCAAAATTTACCACCTGGTATATTGAAGCATTGTCACTTGATATTCTGTTGCCAACTAATCTATCCTTGTAGTGATCTACCTATAGGTAGGTGCTAATTGTTTGTTTGTTTTTTTTTTTGTTTTGTTTGGGTGTGTGATAATTTACCCAGTTATTTACTATTTATTTCTGACTGGATTTCTCTGTTAATTTTTCATAATAGACAATAATATATTCATTTTTTCAGTAAAGTCTTATAGCAAATTGTATTGCAGGAACTGGTGGGGTGTTTCTGCACTCAATGTTTATGTTTCCTTCTTTCTTCCTACTGGCATGTGTTGAATAGAGGAAAATATACACTCAGTGGCAAAACACTTCCACCATTTTCCTGCCAATAGAACTATCTATTAGGTTAGCTAGATATGATAGTAGGTGAGCCGGCATTAAACATCTGATAACGAAATTATATATGACCCAAAGGAAAGTGAAAACATTGTAGTTCATCAAAGGGCCCTCGATTTCACGATTTGATAATGAGATAATAATTTTGCCATCTAATACCAATTGAATGCTAGGTCTCAAAATCCTACTTAAGCCACCCCTCAGTCTGAACCAAATCCACGGCATAGTTTATAACTTTAAATTTCACGTGGATAATTGTCTGATTTTAATATAATGTAATTTCATCTCAATATTGATTCATCCTTCTTCCTGCCAAAAAAATCACTGTATTATACCGTTACCACCGATACAACAACGGTGGTAACGATTATACACGGGAAAAATATAAAATTTCAGCTCACGGTTTTTTGTCGGGAGACAACACAACCTGGAGCTAAAATCTACTACTTTTTTCCCTTGTATAATGAATAACTATTACTACTAAATGGAAACAAAATGCAAACTAATAACGCAACCTCAAATTGGGACATTTTTATTTTGCGAATCTCATGGATTTGAAGTAGTGAAACATACTATATTGACAGAATACTTGCTGAAAATCTCCCTCGAATCACAAGAATACACAAATAAAACGTCACAAGTGAAGTTTTCTGTACTTATATCACCACCAAAAAATCGAAATGATACACACAAGCAAATCAACTATTTCAAAACAATGTTCTTTCATATAGTTCCAAAACCATAGTTGAACCATCGCATAGCAAAATCAATACCACCACGTTAAATCTCATCAAAAGTTGCTATGGAGAAGTATTTTTAGCTTTTCTGTATCTCAAATAATAACGTAGAAAAAAAAAAGATTTTCCAAAAATTTTTTTTTCGATGTAACTGAAGAACTATAAACAATTTTGAAAATTTTCCAAGGCCGTTGGTCTAACCCTCGGAATGCGCAAATTTTTTCTCATTTAACCGAATTATTATCCCTTCAATAATAATCGTTTACTCCTTTAAGAAATGTTAGTATTGGAATCAATCCTACAACTTCACAGATCTCTAACGCCGAACGTATTTCAAGTCATACAATATAAATTCCAGAATGTACACTCATAACTACGAAACTACCTGTATTAAAATTTCATAGAGAATTATTCCATAAGGTATTTAGGTATCTACCAAAAAATGAGAGGAAGTCGTTTTTTTAAATCTCAATACAATAGCAAAAAAAATTCAAAAGTTGCATATGGTTGCATGCATGTGCGTATCAAACGGATAAGCGGGGTAAATATTCGCCCTAATATTTTTGAAAAGGGCATACACTAACATCACGGATAAAAAATATGATTCAATAAATTTACGCAGAAATGATGATAATGATAATAATTATTATAATATGAAACGGAAATAATGATAAAAAAATAACTTCACAGGCTCCCTTTTAAGATAGTGTGTGTCTTCCTGTTTTTAGCCCTAGTAGACTTTGGTATACAGAGGTAGAGAGGTATGACTTATCATAATCATACTTTCTTCAATGTAAAGGCAGAAGTGTGAAATTAAAATTATTGCATACCTTTATTCAGGTATGTTCATAAAATGTTAAAACCATCGACTGTATTTTATTGTGCTAATTCCACTTGGAGAGGGAGATAACGATAGGTATTAATAGACAACTGAAACTATCCATGGGAGTTGTGAAAATGTATAATATTATGATGCCTTGGTATAGGTTGATTGACTGCACATTAATAAAAGTTTTAAGAGATAAGGTGTTAGGTTCCATGTTGATATACACTTGGTAGATGCATGTCATGGAATGTCATGTTACGAATTGATTAGATTGTCATTAAAGAATAATTTACAATTACTTGAATTCAATACAACTACGTATGTATTAGTGGCGACGAGTATACTCTGAACTCACAAATTCCTACAATTTCAAGAAAAAGTGTTAATTCGAAATGCCGAATGGTAATACAAGCCAAACGGCAGATGCTAGCCAAACGAGTGGACCTGCCGAAAATATGTGGAAAATGGTTCTGATGATGATAATTATGAAGACTCATCGGATGATGAACCACACGAAATAAATGCAGTAACACTGTTCACTGAACCGTCATCCAGTAAATATTTTTGCTTTGTCAAAATCAATGATATTATCTTTAAGATGGAATATGATACAGGATCAGCTGTTAGTATAATGAACCTGAAGACATTTTTGGAGAAAATTCCGAATGGTGAGATAGTGCCATCTAAAACTCAGCTCCTGACATATACAAAAGAAGCATTTTGTGTCGTTGGGACAGCTGAAGTTAAGATTGAATTCGAAAATAAATTGATATATGATAAGTTACACATCGTGGATGGAGATTTCGATACAATAATCGGCCGGAATTGGATGAAAGCATTAGGTTTGCTTCCTGAAGTCAAGAATATCAACGAAATATCTGAAATTGATGAATTGAAACAATATGTACTTACTCGATATCAAGATATTTTCCAGGAGAAATTGGGGAAAATTCCGTCTACAAAAGGAACTTTAAAATTATTACCTGATTCCAAGCCTATTTATATTAAACCCAGACAAGTACCTTACGCACTCCGAGAAAGAGTTGATCAAGAAATCAAGAGATTAGAACAGTTGGGTGTATTCAAAAAAATTGAATACTCTGAATGGGGAACACCGTTGGTTCCACTTGTTAAAAAAGATGGGTCCATACGTTTATGCGCGGACTATAAAGTGACTTTGAATAAATGTATTCGAGATGATAATCCAAACATCATTCCTCGCATTGAAGATTTGTTTTTGAAGTTACGCGGCGGAAAATAGTTTTGTGTCCTTGATGTTTATAAAGCATATTTGCATTTACCAATGGACGATGAGAGCAGCAAAATGCAAACTGTGTCAACTTTGAGAGGGTGTTATAGGGTAGAACGCTTGATGTTTGGAGTTAAAACAGCTCCAAATATCTGGCAGAAATTCATGGATTCTATTTTACTTGATTTAGAGGGCACTGCATGTTTCTTTGATGATATCATCGTCCAAGGAGCAACGTTAGAACAAACATTCCACCGATTGAGGATACTCTTAGACAGATTACGATATCATGACCTACATATCAATCCAAAGAAAGCAAGATTTTTCGAGAAATCCGTGAAGTATTTAGGTCACACAATCGATGAAGATGGTCTCCATAAAACCAGTGATAAAATCAAGGATATTTTGAAACTCAAAAGACCGAAAGATGTTCACGAGCTGAGACAGTTTTTGGGAATGGTAAATTTTTATAATAATTTTATACCGGATTTAGCATCAAAATTAAATCCATTGAATAGATTATTACAAAAAGAAGAACAATTTATATGGTCGAGACAATGCGAAATAGCGTTCAACAAGGTCAAACAAGATTTGATAGGAGAACAAGTTTTGGTACATTATGATCTGAATCTTCCGTTAGTTTTGGCAACTGATGCATCTCCAGTGGGAATATCAGCAATATTATCTCACAGATTCAGAAATGGAGAGAGGCCAATTGCTTTTGCATCACGATCTTTAACAAAAGCAGAGCAAAAGTACAGCCAACTAGACAAGGAGGCAACAGCAATATTTTGGGCGTTACATAAATTCTTTCAGTATTGCTATGGTCGAGAATTCATATTAGTAACAGATAATAAACCATTGACAGCGATATTCAGTCCAGACAAACATTTGCCATCCATGGTATCGAGTCGATTATTGAGATACGCACAGTTTCTTTCGGGATTCAATTATACTACCGAGTACCGAAATACGAAAATGAATTCGAATGTTGATTATTTCTCAAGATTTCCGCTCTGCACAGGAAGAGTGGAAGAAAATTATGATGATGAAGGAGAGGTATTACAACTTCATGAAGATAGCTTACCGGTCACGGCAAAAATGATAGCAGAAGAAACCCAGCAGGACACAGAATTGAAGAATTTGTATTTAGCGATTCAAACTGGAAAGTTTGCTAATACGGACTATAAAGGCCAAGAAAGTGAATTTTCAATTGAAAATGGTTGCATTTTACGCGGATTTCGAGTAATGATTCCCAAAATACTACGTGGAGATATACTCAAGGAATTACATTCGGCACATATTGGAATTGTCAAGATGAAGACTCTGGCAAGGAATTATTGCTATTGGAGAAATATCGATCGCGATATAGAAAATTTAGCGAAGAGTTGTGTTGCGTGCTGCAAAGTTCAAAAAGAATGTAGCAAGGCTCCTGTACATTCATGGCCAGAACCTACAACTACGTGGCAAAGAGTACATTTGGACTTCGCTGGACCATTTATGGATCACCATTTTTTAATTTTAGTGGATGCCAAATCTAGATGGTTAGAAGTTGTTCCAATGAAATCAATAACAAGTAAATGTACAGTTGATAACCTCAGAGATATTTTCTGTCGATATGGACTACCATCCGAGATGGTGACAGACAACGGACCATCATTGACATCTTATGAGTTCGAAAAATTCTTGAAATCCAATGGTATTCAACATCTACTTACAGCACCGGGGCACCCAGCAACCAATGGTCTTGCCGAACGGTATGTACAGACAGTAAAAAATGGCTTGAGATCTGCATTGTTAGATAATGGAAATCTCAATGTGAAACTCAACAGACTGCTTATGCAGTACCGGAAAACACCCAATTCAACTACAAATAAAAGCCCAGCGGAATATTTCTTGAACTTCACTTATCGTTCACGATTGGATCTAATCAAAGGACATGAATCAATTAATAATGGAATGAGGACCGAAAGTACATTGAGAACCAGGGAGTTCAATGTAGGTGATACCGTTCAATCCAGAAATTATTCTGATAAATCTGAAAAGTGGAAATTTGGAAAGATTCATGAAAGACTTGGAAAATTACATTATTTAGTGCAAACTGAGGATGGAAAATATATAAGACGACACATAGATCAATTGAGAGCAATGAAAGTAATGGAATTACATGGTTTGCCACCCTCATCTGATAAACGCATCATCACGAAACCCAATCCACAGTTGTTGTTAAGGAGTCGTACTCCATCACCGTGTATGATTTCACATTCACAAACTGCTCCCAATCAAAATCTGGTCCCATCAATATTAAATTCTCGTAGAGACTCGATGTCACCAAATCGTTCGCCCGGTGAAGATAAGCAGGCAGACTTAGAAGAAAGTACTTCTGAATCCAGATCGGCTATGGCTCGGAAGTCACCTGTTAGAAGATCAACTAGAATACGAACCGTTCCGAAACGCTTGAATTTGTAATTTATTTTTTTAGGGGGGAAATGTTAGGTTCCATGTTGATATACACTTGGTAGATGCATGTCATGGAATGTCATGTTACGAATTGATTAGATTGTCATTAAAGAATAATTTACAATTACTTGAATTCAATACAACTACGTATGTATTATAAGGTGTTTTCCAATTTATTATGTTGTTGTAGCAGTATTATCCCGGGTACCGAAGTATTTATATTTACGCATTTCAAGATCAGTTCAGTAGTTTTACATTAACCTTGACTTGACGCATTTTGTATCTGATAATTGGAATAAATATTTGAAATCGAGTTAGATTGTTAAGGGAAACAGTAAACGTATCATGCAGTAACTATTATACAAAATTCACGGTGATACAGCTGTCACATGATTTGACAACAAAATGGAATGGGCATGGTTGAAAGACTGGTGGAGACTGAAGAAATGGAGAAAGTACAGGAGAACGAGTGATACAGAGTCCATGTGTTTTTGCGACGAATGTCTTGATAACGAAGTTGGTATTTTTGACGTTTGAATTCTTTCCTTATATGCATGTTTCGTCTGTACTCGTGTCTGACGAAAATTATTCGAGCAAATGATACAGTGTGTTTTATGATAAGTGAAAAGTGATGGTTCGGGCCTTATTCATCAGTAAGTAGTGAGGTGATATTTCGGCGGTCACACTAGAAATGCGGTGAATTTTCGAAATTAGGAGATTTCAAATAATGCTGAGATTAATACTTATGTCATATATTCTGTATATTGGGTAATTTTGTTTTGTAGCACAATCTTTCAAGTTCTAAATGGAACATCCTGTATTTTTCCACATTTTTGGATTCAGTTGAACGTATTTTGAGTAGATACCAAAAGAAAAGGTTTATTGACATTTACTCAAATTTTAATGAAGAATACCCTGTAGCGACTTTATTGATACCTAATTTATTATTTTATTTGGAATTCAGGCATAATAACAAAATATATATAATAAATACAAAAACCTCAGTCATTTCCACACAATGTTCATAAAATGAACAATAATGGTAGATTTCGGGAGAAAAACAACCACTTTCCTGGTTAATGCCACGCAGAACATTGAATTACATCCTCCCGAAATCTATGCTTCGACTCGTATGAATATTTACTGATACAAGTGATTCTTTTCTGAATGCCTATTGATTTCGATTTGGATCACTTGTATCAGTATTCGCTTATACGAGTCGATGCATAGATTTCGGGAGGATATAATTCAATATTCTGCGTGCCATTAGCCAGAAAGGTAGTTGTTTTGAAAGAAAAAAAAAAGAGAAAATGACAAAATTCTTATTGCAATATCAAAAAGTAGATTTTACTCCCGCCGAATCACTAACACCTAAAAACAGTCAGCACTATTTATAATGATACTGGATAAACAATGTTTCGATTTAGATTGGGGTACCTCAGGTCCTTCATCACCCTGTATATGCACCGGTATACTCTGCTACAATTGACTTGAATAATCACGATCGCTGAAAGTATTCGAAAATTTTTTTTTGGCGCCAGATTTCAATTTTCATCGATAACACAAAAACAGCTAGGTAGGGTATGGCACAAGTTTTTCAGGTTGGTAAATAGGACTAAATACCAAAATAAAAAGTTCATTGACACATATACTCATAAATATTCGAATGGTTAACCTAAAAATTTATAATTTTCATGATTAGTTTGAGAATGTTTAATTAACTTATCATAATCCCATTATCACCTCTGACCTTGGATATGGTCGCAAATGAATGATACACATTTCAAATTTGTATTTAGTCTTCCTAAATGTTTTACATAGGTACCCCTGAGTGCAATCAAACATTTGATAACTGGGTAAGATGTGTAAACGAATGCAATGATTATTGTACGATTATTTCAAGTTAATCTCCTGAAAAACTCTAGACCCGTTCTTGTCAATCTGGAAACAATATATTAGGTGTTTTCGGCATTAGAGCAATGAATGAAATGGGATGACACGATGCAAAAGTCATTGGTACTTCCGGTGTTTCTGATCTTGCCGAAACCAAACGCTTGGATTCGGCTGTTGACCTCTATCATTGATTTATAGAAATTTCAGCCAAACTTTCCTTCAACATTTTTTTTAAATTGTACTTTTTACTTTTTCTCTCTTCTAACCCATTTCAATTATCGCGCCAATTCCGGAAACACCCTGTATATTGTGAAACAAATAATTTGTGTAGGTTGATCGAAGAGGTGGAATATTAATTTCTCAAATTTTTTGGGATTTGCTCTCCTCGTTTATATTTTGGTCTGAAATTAATTCGCCGAATGAAAAAAATCATCATTTCTCTCTTGTCGTTTAACATAGGAAGTTTTCGAATTATTTTCAATTTTTTTAGGGCGACCTGGAACTATGCGATCCAAACGACGAAAGCTTGAGCCCTCAAGACATGGAGGAAGATGGGGGCAAAGTTGTGATAGTGGGGGTGTGCGCTATGGAGAAAAAAACGCAAAGCAAGCCAATGAAGGAGATTCTGACTAGGCTGCAGGAATTCGAGTACATAAAAGTGACAGTTTTTGAAGAGGATGTGATTTTACATGTAAGTGTTTTCAATTGAGGTGTTGGTTTAAGTTCAGAAAAAATGCGGTAGGCTTGATTTAATTTATTTTTTCGTCGACTTCTACAAAAAATCACATTTTACCTTCTAATTTCCGAAAGAAAAACCGATTATTTCCGAAGGCGAGTACTTTTCGTCCGCACTTGTTATAACAGTTTGTTTCTTATGTTCAATGTTTTTATTTGTTTTGTATTTGTGTTGTTAATTTTTACTATTCGTTCCTGTTTGTTATACCGGGTGGCTACGGAAGTATTGCCTACGGAATATCTCAGTTATTGTATGAAGTAGGTTTGTGAAATTTGGAGCGTCGATATAATGACATAAGAGCTAGGATTTGAGCATATTGACATGTCGAAGTTAACTTCCGGTCTGACCGGAAGTAACATCAACTTTCTTATTTCAGATGGAAACCCTATTTTTTTTCTTCTCGCTTTATTCAGCATTCAATTCCCTTTCTAATGACATATCACAAGTTGATATCTAACCAGAAACTAGATCAGAAAAAAATTATTATTGAAATTCACCAAGTAGGCCGTGGAAGCAAAATGGAAACCAAAAATTGAAAAGTTGGCTATGGAAACCATATGTCACTTGATAACAGTTGCTACTACTGTGATATTTTATTTTCATTCGTCGGCGTTATAAAAAGCCGCCAAAAAAGATATTGGAAAAATTGGGAAGAAAACAATACTCTGTAGGTCCATAACTTGAATAGGAACATACAACTTTTTCTTGCCTGTACTATTCAGCATAACCATTCCTTTCTAATGATTTAATAGAAAGTCATTTTTTGAAATGAAATACGCTTCCACGGCCTACTCGGTGAATTTCAATAATAATTTTTTTCTGATCTAGTTTCTGGTTAGATACTAACTTGTGATATGTCATTAGAAAGGGAATTGAATGCTGAATAAAGCGAAAAGAAAAAAAAATAGGGTTTCCATTTAAAATAAGAAAGTTGATGATGCTTCCGGTCAGACCGGAAGTTAACTTCGACATGTCAATATGCTCAAATTCTAGCTCTTATGTCATTATATCGACGCTACAAATTTCACAAACCTACTTCATACAATAACTGAGATATTCCGTATGCAATACTTCCGTAGCCACCCGGTATACTCAAATCATATACAGGGTGGGGCATTAGTGCGTCGGAGCTCGATTGCTCGAAATCTATGATAGCTAGAAACCTGATTCAAAAACGAATGTGAATGAGACAACAAGGTCCATAACTAGAAATTATTGCCGCATATAAAGGGCGCACCAAAAATGATCTAGAGGGTCGGGATCATTTTTTTTTTAAATAGAATGCGCTGTATATTTGCATATTTTTTTAAGCATCCCTGTGACCTTCATCCACTCCTATGATATCGTTGACTATATCTCGTTCATATCAAAGAATTTTTTTGTCGAAATAATGTCATCTGCAAATGCCTACGGAATATATCACTGTTGTCACAATTATGAAATTCAAGAAAAAATAAAAAAATAATCTCAATATCATTTATTGAAAAGATGAGTGACATTTCTGAAAATGTTTCAGGCCCTCAAATGATACAGGGTGGCTGAAAATGATTTTTCAATTCGGAACTTTTCAAAGTGATTTTTCACGAGTTTTTCAAATGGAACACCCCATATATTTTTTGACCATTTGATGTAAAATCGAAACACTAACATATTTATCTGAACATCCATATCGATATTCATAACCATTTTTGAATTATTGAACTTTGAAAATTATAGGTTGGCGATTTTGATCGATTCTCTTATCTGTCATTAAAACATCAAAAGTCCAATTATTTATTTAGTGAACCAATTTTTTCAAAGATAGAATCGATACCAGAATCGAAGAAAACAGAAAAAGTTTATATTATGCTAGTTATTCACAAAGTAAAAAGAGACAAAATTTGCATTTCTCAAGTATCCCATAAATTCATGGCACATTGAAAGCAAAACCAGAATAATTGAGAAATGAAATTTTTTCCGTCTCTACTTTGTGAATATTAAGCATATTATGACCTATTCATGTCTGCTTTGGTTCTGACATCGATTCTTTCAATAAAAAATTGGTTTACTAAATTGTTGATTGAACTTTTGATGTTTCAATAACAGATTAGAATGTGTATCGATGAAAATGGCCAACCTAAAATTTTCAAAGTCACTCATCTTTTCAATAAATGATATTGAGATTATTTTTTCTTGAAGTTTATAATTGTGACAATAGTGATATTTTCGGTAGGCATCTGCAGATGACATTATTTCGACCAAAAAATTCATAACTTTGATACGAAAGAGATATAGTCAACGATATTATAGGAGTGGATGAAGATCACAGGGATGCTTCAAAAAAATATGCAAATATACTGGGCATTCCAATTTAAAAAATTGATCCCGACCCTCGGTGCGCCCTGTAATGCGGCAATCATTCCTAGTTATGGACCTTGTTATCTCATTCACATTCGTTTTTGAATCAGGTTTCTAGCTATCATAGAACTCGAGCAATCGAGCTCCGACGCACTAATGCCCCACCCTGTATGTAATGTACCTATGTACCTGTATTTTGTGATATTTGTATTTTTAAATTAAGATTATAATTATTTTTTTATGAGAATGTTTGTTTTGTTTGTTTCTATTTTGTTGTAAATATGTTGTTTTTCTGTTCACTAAAAGTACATAATGTTTTGACGTCATAGGATTATTTCATTATCCTTTCTGATAAAATAAAAATCGAACTGGCAACCCTGGTCCGCGCGGAGAGTGAGTTGACAACAGCTGCCAGTTGCTGTTCTCAAATTAATTATTCACGAAGTCTCATAGATTTCACGTGTGAATAGGACGGTGATGTGAATATGAGTGTTTGAAGTCGACGAAAAAATGTAATATGCCCTCGGCGAAGAACTGCAAATAAGTCGCTTGCACGATGACCGCCCTTGGAAATAAAACATTGAAACACAACCTCACTTTTCTGTAAAACATTGAAACACACCTCACTTTTCATATTTTTTTGTTCACGTAGAAATCAAAGGAACAGAGGATTGAAATAGTTTTTCACAATATTTTGGCATACAAATTGTATAATTTGGTCTATTCATTAATTCTAGCATGCCATCACAATGTGCTGTTGTATCATGCAAAAAAAATGTATCAAGAGACGATGGATTATGATTGGATCTCACATAGTTCTTCATTATGACATTGTGTCCTTTCTCATTAGAATTCCTTCTGTCACCTTCGGTGCTAATACAGTGAAAATGTCTACAACAACACACATGATCATATTCCGAATTCAACTGACTGTACTGAATCTGCTTATTTTCCATTCCAAAATCGAAAAAATCACTGAATGTGACATGTGCTTGTGAGCAGATATACTATTCATCCCAAATATTTCGACTCAACATTCTGCTGAAATTGCTGAGTATCAAAAGGTGGTGTGGCTTCAGTGAACTGTCATTATTTCAAAGGGGGAAAGAATGTAACATTTATTTCCGTTGTTATAGTTATAGTCAGAAAATACCCGTTATTGAAATAATAAACGCTGAGAATAATATGGAGTATTAGGTAGAAGAGGAAAAGAAAGAAGAAGCGGCATTGGGTGAATGAATATCTAAATGAACCTGAAATGTCTCCTAAATTCATCATCATTAATGCCACATTACATAAATGTCCAAGTATTCTTCATCACTCGAGCTAGAATCGTCATCGTCAACAATCGAAGGAACTATGAAGGCTACAAGAACCGATTGCTCTTCCATGTTATATATCAAATTTCCAAAATGTATGTTAACCAGGAGCCTAAATTGACTAGTTCAGATAAACGAGAAACTACAGACTGACAAATTTCACCAGCTGATCAACTGCTGCTGACTACTGATGAAAACCATGAAAACGTGTTCCGAATTACAGCACTGTATTTTTGATTTTATATTTCGGGATTTTCAGTAGAGTTAGTGGATCTACTGACAGTACTGACCAGTTGAATTCGGAATATAGCCCATATTTCGTCAGCATGTCAGACCAGTCCTCCCGTTTGATTGCATGAATCTATCAATCTTCTTGCCTTCTTTAAGAAACCTCACGAGTATTTTTATTAGCTGCTATTGCAGAAGGAATTCCAATGGGAAACTATACATATGAGTGACTATAGTACTTTTAGATCAAAATATACCTACCTGAAAAATCAGATTCCTTCGTCTCTCGCTGCATTTTTGTGCATTATACAACAGCACAATGTGATGACATGCTTGAATTAATGAATAGCCGAAAAACACGAATCGTATGACAAAATAATTGTGAAAAAATATTTCAATAATTTGTGAACAAATAAGAAAAGTGAGGTTGAGTTTCAATGTTTTACCTCCAGGGTCGGTCATCTGACAGATCTTTCACGAAACCCATTGTCTCGCCTGATTGCTAGCCTCGGATAAAGCTTCGGCTATCAATTGGTAGACTGGACTATAATATACAGTTTTTCGTCCTTGGTAAAAAACTATTTTGTTATCAAAATATTTATTATCGAACTATGAAAAAAAATAGCTGAAGAATATACAAAAATGAATTCCATAAAAACAGAAAGTAGCACAATAGAGTTTGCCGCCGAACGCCATGTTTGAACGTCCTGGGGAATTGTAAGGTAGGTATTCAAATGCTGTTTTATGAAGTATCACAGCATATTTTATCAAAAAATGTCATAGACGCAGGGTATACCATGAAGTTATAGTCATGTTGTAGCCATCTAGTGGCAAAACTCTAAGGTAGGATCCAGAGATCGCGACACACACTGTATGGCGCTGCCTATAGTCACACGTACAGACCCTTACGTCTATACGCTACAGAGCGGTACTACAAGTAAACCACTACCTGACATACTTGAGTGGATTTTTTCACCACCTATTCAACTGCTAGATCTCATAACTGTTCATCCTGGATCTCTTAGTTGTGAGATCA